AACTCTACACGCTCACCTTCGTCGACGCCGGAACGCGCCACGTGTGGGTCGTAAACGTTGAAGCGCGCAGCAGAGCATACGAAGCATTTCGCTTGTGGCTGGCGCACGCGCAGCGGCAATCTGGGGAAAAGTTGAAGATCTGGCAGTCCGACGGCGCGGCGGAGTTCAGGAGCAAAGATCTGCATGATTACCTCGCGCAGAAGGGAATCGAACACCACATCTCCCTCCCCTACGCGCACCAGCAGCAGGGCGTAGCCGAGCGCACGAATCGCACCCTCATGACGAAGGTGCGGGCGTTGATGAGGCAGTCGAAGCTTCCGCCGACCTACTGGAACTACGCAATGCACCACGCCGTGCGGGTGCACAACCTGCTGTCAATCACCGCCATCACCAGCAACTCATCACCGCATGTGCAGTGGACGGGGAGGAAGGGCGACACATCCATGCTCCGCGTGTGGGGATGCATGGTGCAGTACCGGCCGCCGACATCAACTATCGGGAAGTTTGCTAGCCGCGCGCGCTGGGGGATCCACCTCGGCATCAGCCACGAGTACAAGGCATGGCTCATTCTGGACCTCCTGAGTCAGAAAATTAAGAACGCGCGCGACGTCATCTTCTACGAGCGGCTCTTCCTTCGGCAATTCCGCGAAGATGAGCAGGCGAACGCGAACCGCGTCTACGCCAACGACGGCCACAGCTACGCCTCACCTGAGGATGAAGCCGCAGCAGCAATTCTGGAGCAGAACCCCAGAGGCGAGTTCACGAGAGGCGATCGCAACAACGACGACGACGACGACGACGACAATTCTCCAGGAGGAGGAGCAGGCGCAGCAGGCGGAAGCAGAGGCGGAAGCGGCGGAGGGGCAGCACCACCACCAGCACCACCTGAACCAGAAAGCGACGATGACGATGTGCAGGAAGTCATCCCGCAGCACCGCCACGACAGCACCATCTCTGGACTTCAACTTCTCGGGCTCCACACCGCCACCTCATCGGCGCCACGTGTCATCGAGCCGAAGAACCCTCGTCAAGCACTCACAGGACCATACAGCAAGGAATGGCGCGAAGCGATGGATGCGGAAATCAAGGCACTTGAGTCCCGCGATACCTGGGTGCTCGTCGATCGAGCAGCAATCAAAGGGAGGAGGATTCTCTCCGGGAAATGGGTCTTCCGCGTGAAGACCGCAGCTGACGGGACGATCGAGCGATTCAAGGCGCGGTGGGTAGTGCGCGGCTACGATCAGAGGCACGGCATTGACTTCGATCAGACGTTTGCACCGGTCAGCCGCCACACTTCCGTCAGAATTCTCCTCGCAATCGCTGCAGCACGACACCTCCCGCTCCGACAAATTGACGTGAAGAACGCGTTCCTGTACGCGTTAGTAGATGCCGTGATCTACGTGGAGCAGCCGCACACATACGGCGAAGGGGATTCGCGTGTCTGCCAGCTGAGGAAATCCTTTTACGGGATCAAACAGGCGCCGAGACTCTGGCAGCAGTACCTGCACAATATACTGCTTGAAATCGGGTTCAAGCAGTTGCCCCACGATCCTGGGATGTATCGCCGCGATTTCCGCGGCGAATACATCCTACTCACGGTCTACGTCGACGACCTCCTCTACACAGGGTCAAGCAACGAGTTGCTTGAACAATTCGAGAAAAACCTCGCAGGGCTCGTCGACATCACCTGCAACCATGACGTGAAGCAGTTCCTTGGGCTCAACATCACCTACTCGCCGGAAGCCATTCATCTCTCAGCAGCCAAGTACGCAGAGGAGCTTAGCAAGCGCTTCAACATTGCGCCTGCACCACTCTCCACCCCTTACCGCACTCCATGACCCAACCACAAGCCTGACAACAAAGCCCTGTCCCCTGCTGGGCTTCACACCTACCAGCAGCAGTTGGGATGCCTGCTCTTTGCATCTGTTACCTGCAGGCCCGACCTCTCCTACATCGCGAGCCAGTTGGCTCAGTACTCTCGCAAACCAACGGCTGAGAATCTGCTAGATCTCCAGCGGGCACTTCAGTTCTTCATCTCCACGCCCAATGTTGGGCTCTGCTACTCCACCATCCCAACCTCGTCCTTCAACCTCATCGGCTACGTGGACGCTGATCACGCTGCTGACCCCGACAATCGACGGTCCAGGACAGGCTTCCTTTTCCGCCTCGAGCCCAGCGGCCCCATCTCCTGGAATTCACAGAAGCAGGAGCTGGTTGCCCTGTCATCAGCGGAAGCTGAATTCATCGCAGCAACAGCAGCCGTTCGCGAAGGCCTCTACCTTCAGGAGTTGCTGCAGGAGGCGAAAATTCCAGCCTCGGCGAACTTTCGTCTGCACTGCGACAATCAGAGCGCGATTAGGATCGCAAACAAGCCGGGATTCGTCAACCGCACCAAACACATCGCGCTGCGGTACTTCTTCGTCAAGGACGAAGTTGACAAGGGCAAGGTTGACCTAACCTACTGTCCTACGGGTGACATGGCAGCTGACTCCCTCACGAAGAAGCTGTCACGTCAGCAGTATCAGCACTGCTCCGAACTCACCGGGGTAGTCAAGCGGGTCAAGACTCGCTACGGCCAGGAGTGAAGGGGGGTGTTACGAATAATGATTATTGAAACACTACTGTGCACTCCTCACCGCAGCAATCGAAGCACGCACTTCCGAGAATGAAGGTGAAAGGGCGGAAGAGACGCGAAGGGTCGCACGGTTACGAAAGCATCTGGACCGTCGGGCAGACAGCATCAGGCAGCAGCAGTGGCGAGGATTCTGCCCGAACAGTTTCGTAACTGTCTGGAGTCGCACGGTTGGATTTCGCTGTAATAAGGGAATGTACCCCTTAGAGTACATGGCTAGCTAGGTCGATTGGTATTCCCTTGTAATCTTATTTATAGTGCTGTATTTGCATGTTTTTAATCATCTCAAGCCTTTACATCAGGGCTAAAATTATCAGTGTAAATCACCCTGATACCCTGATAATCAAGGTGGTGTTTGGTAGTCACACTGATGGTCCCGTGTAATTTTTTTAGGAGTCAAGATCTTCCTGATGTGCCAGGGTTTACATTTAAGGCACACTGATGACTAAGGGTTCCCGATTTCCATAACGAGTTTTACCCTGAATCGAGATCCATACCCCCCCCGCCCCCCAGTCCCCCCACCCCCCCTTTCCCGTAACCCGGGATTCCCGAATCCCGATCGATTGCCACCTGGCGAAACCGAAACCGCCCCCCAGTTCCCCCACCCCCCCATTTGTGGCATGCCTGATGATGCTAAAAACAATTCACCAGGGTTTGTCATTTATGAACACTGATGCGACAGGGTAGATTTTACAAAAACAGCCTAAACCCTGATGCATCAGGGTTTTTACAAGGGGTAACACTGATAATCAGGTTTTTGCACTTGTACTACACTGATAATAAGGGTAGCTCAAATCCAAAAATTAGCCCTGATTTACATTCACTCTGCTATTGAGGTCAAGGGCCCACCACCACTACTCAGTTGTGTGCGAACCTTCCTGAGGTGATCCTAGGCACGATCAACTTCTGATCACAACACGAATGTTGAGTGTGATAGATATGGAGATAATGTAAATAATACGAAGTCCTCATAAGATGATACTATGAGATATTTTGTCCTTGTAAGCAGCATAATGAACAAAATCTACACCTTCGTAAATTTATACAAGACGAGATGTTCTTTCAACCATAGCACCATCAGCCACTTTCCCGCAAGTACCGTCACCGCCTGCCAGGGCTTGAACCTGTCGGTCAAGAGGTTCTCGCGCGCTTGTTTGGCGGAGGTCATCCAACCAAAGGTTTGGAAACCCGCCACAAATGGAAGCAAACTTTCAGATCTCGCGCGAATGCCAGAGCGCGCTCATCAATTTGTCAGCGCGCAATACACCAATGTTGAAAGAGTGCGGCTCGTAGTCGAGTCGGCTTTTATCAAAAGCTGAACCAAAATATGAAACTTCTCCCGCTCACATGCGCTTCCGTTTTTATGATACTTTCCATCAATCCCAACCCTGCTGCAAGTGTGATCGTGTCCACCTCATCCCCCAAGCATGCTCTGCTGCTGCCCTTCCACTTCATTAGCATTGGTGTAGCTCTTGTGCTGCCGTTGTTCATGCTTGGCACCCCCCACACACAGCAACGGACGGCTACACTTTCCCGCGCCATCCACGCGTGGAGTCCGTGGACACAACTCACAGGTTCATTCTTATGTTTGAAAGGCTGCCTGCCACCGATAGGGCAACAGCAGCCTGGCCAGCACCTTGCTTGATGCTGCTACCACTGTCGTGATCGCCGAAACGAGCAAATGCTCGTTGGCATCGCGCCCCCTCTGGTCGAATAGATTCAGCTCCCCTAATAGTCGGTTTGGCCATCGACGACGGCTCCTGTCCCGTCCCATGCTCCGCTCCTCCCAGCATCCCCCGCTTTTCCTTCGGATCATGCGATGGTTCGGCACACCCACTGGTACATTCTAGAGTTGGGAGAACAGGCTGGAACACTGGGCGCGCATTCACAATACGATTCATTTCAGCGGTGCATCACCTCATCACCGCATCATCACATCACCACATCACTTGTGCCCGTCAAGCCCAAGCCCTGATTCTTCCAGGTCTAGCCCTCTTCGACCACAATCGGCCTGCTAATTCAAACTCGTGAAGTACGGTTCTGTAGAAATCATTCGGAGACTTGTTCTATGTTTGAAAACCAACAGTTGGACGCTCTACGGGAGATCGGTGCTTAGGTATACAACCGTCTTTAGTCAGAGTCTCGTGCCTGCAAAGAGCGCGCTTCCATTAAAAGAGCACTCCCAAAACACGTCCTTTTATCTCACAAACGTTGGAACTTCGAGACTAGACATTGACGTAAGAAAATGGTCCACCTCCCGCAAAGACCGTCAACTAAGAGCTGCAATCCGTTTGGTTATCGCCGAACCATGCGCTCTCTACTCTCCTCCACTCTCTTGCTCATCCTCGTTAGTGTCGTCTCCGCTGAAATGAAGGATCGCTCTCTCTTCGTCCCATCGCAAGCGCCCCCTGCGGGAACGCTTCAATCGGGCGGCGAAATAACGACGCAGGCCGCGAACCCGCCGCGGTACATTAACGTGGGGTATAACGGCGGGGATTTTAACTACCAATTCAACCCCACGACTAACCTCCGCAGCTGGGCAGCCTCAACAAAAGTTTTCCCGGGCGACTTTCTCGGTACGTCGTCTCGAAAAACTCAGTGCCAATCCTCGTGGGTTGCTTGGTGAGGTTCTGCCGAGTTTCTGTACGGTTCAACCACCGTAGTCCTCGGTCCTTCGTTACTTTTATGCTGTCTCCTCTTCGTATGGCCAATCTCGAAAGTTGCATTTCACGCTCACGCAGAGCGACCGGTTGAGTCCTGTTCCCCATTGTCACAAGTGTTCTCTCCTGTCCCTCTCCCCTCCCCATCTTTCTCATCTCCTCCCCCATTTTTTCCCCTCACCCAACCCCCCTTTCCCCGCTTTTCCGCTCCCCCGCTTCTCCGCTCCGCCAGTGTTCAACTACCCGACGCGCACGGACGAGGTGTACCAGTTTTACCGGCAGGCGGACTTCGACATTTGCAACTACGCGCGCGCCGTGCGCGTGTGCAAGAACTGGGACGGCGCCAAGGGGTGCAAGGTGAAGGCGCAGCAGGGCACCATGTACTTCGCGTCGGGCATGCTCGGGCGCTGCCAGCGCAACCAGAAGGTGGCGGTGAAGGTCAAGAGCAAGCCGTACACGGTGCGGAAGATTGTCGTGGGCAAGCCGACGGCGTCGTTCGGGTGGCCGTGGAACCCGCAGGTGGACTACAACCTGTGGATGCAGTCTACCAAGATCTACGTCGGAGATAAGCTCGGTGCGTGAGGTTATATATCAGGTGTGCCTTTGAATCGGGTCAGGCGACTCGAGAGGTGTGCTTTGAGTCGACTCGAAACCCGCAGGTGGACTACAACCTGTGGATGCAGTCTACGAAGATGTCCGTCGGCGATAAGCTCGGTGCGTGCCGCGTGCCTCATGCCGTGTGCCGCGCGGCGCGTGTCGCACTACGGGCAAGCAATGCGCTTCTCTGCCGATTATTTTTTCGCTCTCTCGCTCTTTCATTCTTCCTCCCTTCTCGTCCCTTCAACACTGGCGCTCTCATGTCCCCAACGCCGCTCTCATGTCCCCAACGCCGCTCTCATGTCCCCAACTCCGCTCTCATGTCCCCAACTCTCCACTCTCGTCGTTCCCTTCCGGCGATCCGCCTTAGCGTGCTCTCTCCTCACCTCGTGTTGTTGCGGTCCCACTGTAATCCCGCTCCTCCCTCCCGCATCCTGCGCCAGTGTTCAAGTACGCGGCATACATGGATGAAGTGTACATCGTACCGACGTACCAGGACTATGTCAACTGCAAGTACGACAACTACGTGGCGTACTGTAACGCGACGGACGGCATCGGCGACGGGTGTTTCAGTTCGGCCATCACCGCCACCCCAACTTACTTCGTCTCGGGCTCGTACTCGCACTGCTTCGCGAACAACCAGAGGGTGAGCGAAATTGGGGGTGTTAATGAAGTAGGGTTACTGCACTGGTTTGAGTTTCGCTAAGTGGGGTGCATACGGACAGCCTGACATCGGCGTGGGGGGGGACGGGACTTGGTCGCGGGTTCGTGCTAGTATAGATTCGCTAGTTACAAGAAAGGGAGGACTGGTTCGGAACAACCACGGGGTGAGAATGAGAGCGGCAACTGAAAGATTCGCTGGTTACGCGAAAGGGAGGACGGGTACGTTGACGGGGAGAAGAGAGAGAACGGAGAAATGGGGGGAGTAGCAGCCTAGCTGTTTTGATTCTCTCTCGCCGTGTTCTTTCCGGTACCCTGTAATCTCTCTCTCAGCGCTGTCCTTTCCCTTGCTGGTTTTTGCCCATTCTCCCCTCTCTCTTCGAATCTACAGCTAGCTGTGAAGGGGCTACCACCACCCGCGTCGTAAAGATCTTACCGCCCAACACATTCCAATGGATGGCGTGGCGCTACTACCACTACCACCTTACCCCAATAAGTTTTAGATCTAGGTATTCACAAAAACTGCTGATTCCTGGGTCCAGGTCTGGGTGCAAGCATTCTAGCTCCTTGCATGTTATTCTGCCTGCAGCCCCTTCTATTATTCAGACATGCTTCCCTAGGTACTCCTGGAAGCTAGCCATATGTTTAGGTTACATAGACTATGGACCTGTGAGTGTAAGAGCTTGAGCTCAGTACAATTGATAATTGTGCAAGCTAAATTGTGGAGGTTCGCTGTTCTCCAAACCCAGCATGACATTGGCAATGATGTAGTTTCCTAGGATAGTAGACCTCAGGAACTTTGAACTAACAGGAAACTCATTATCAGGCACCATTTCGTGCTTGACTACACGGTGTGTAACTGTTGATACGGTAGTCGTCTCAAATCAGATCACTTCCTTACAATGAGAAAATCCTACTCTGGTAGCCTATCTCACACCTGCATTGAGCAATGACCATAGGCCATCCCCCCCACCCGATCATCAACCCATCCATCCACCCACCCACCGTAATCAGAGTGTCTCTATTCAATGCAGCCAGCTTGTACAAAGCAGTTACATTCAGGCGATGATACCCAAGGCACGGTTCCACCCAGCAATTACAATCTCCGGAGGGGCTGCTGTCTTCTTGAAGCTCTCCCTGCTGTGAAGCGCCTGGGGGTCGGTGGAGGAGAGGCATGGGGGGATATGGTAACGAGAAACGGTTGCAGACAGAGAGAAATGGTTAGCACAGCGTAGGCGGTAAAATTACAGGGAAAGATGGATGTTTGGGGAAAGAGACGTGGAAAAGACAGAGACCTTGGAGAAGTGCATGGGTTGGTGGGGGGCTGGATGTGACAGTGTTTGCGCATGCTTGCTTGCTTGGCCGCACAACTGCGTGGACATGCACAGGCATGGCTATGTCCCGGCAATGCAAGCCGATGCCTGCATGCATGCATGCACACAGCCCTTGATACACATGTGCAAATGCACCCGAGTATGTGCCTCCTCCAAACGTCCCTGCATGGTAGGGGCTTGCAGCAGACGTACGGTACCTTGATGTATGCCTGCACGTGAGTGAGGGTGTCAGGAATGTGCCAGTTCTTGTAGTGCGGCAGAGCGACAATCACGTGGTACAGCTTTGGGGAGAGCGCAATGTCCACTGCTGTCAACCTCTCACCCGCCACAAACGGACCGCCCTGCTCACATGGTCAGGTCATCATGGAAATATGGGCATGGTGGAGCAGAATGGGAATGGAGCACGCAGTGAGTAAAAGAGGGGGACAGACAGGGTCAGTAAAGGCAAAAGAGGCAGGAAGCAAAGGGGGAGAGGGGAGGATGGTGGTAGACAGCTAGACACCTTTAGACACGCGCGTGTGCTGAAAGGAGCAGTAATGCGTGTGTTCCAGAATGACTACATTCGACTGCCTTTCCTTCTGTGCGTTCTCACGTGACACCTACATCAGCCATCCTACAGCTGAGGCATGTGGGACGATGCTTACCACAACTCTAACTCTGCTTCCACACGCCTGCCTCCGTTTGCTGACTGTTCCACACCCCCCCCCCCCCCCCCCACTCCACCCCCCCATGAGCAGCACTGACCGAGGCCTTAAGGGTGTCTTCCAGCGCAGAGAGCTCCCCCAACAGCGCCTGCTCCGTGCCGTCCGCGCTGTCTTTGCTCCTGAGAAACTTTGCAAACGCGCCGAAGAGTCCCGCGCCACTGACGGAAGGGGGCAAGGCGGGAGGGCGAAGTTGCGAGAGGGCGAATTTGCAGGAGGGCGGGATGGTGGGATGAGCCGGGCGGAAGGGGTGATATCGGAGGGAGGGAGCCGAGATCGAAGGGAATGCATGTACAACAAATGAACGGACAGTGGGAAGGAAGGGGGTAAGGAGAGGTCATGTGAGTCCACCCAACGTCACACGCAGCAGCACACTCACACTGCTTTCTTGTCGTCCGGCGTGGCAAGGGACGGCTGAGGGAAGTCGGATTCAATCGCGGCAGTGATCGCGTCAGAGTCAGCCAGCCAGCCGTCCGCCGTCTTAATCACCGGCACCTTGCCCTCGGGATTCACGTCCAGAAACCTACGAGCACACGCGCAGGGGGAAGGGGGAAGCGGGAATGAGGAAGGGGGGAAGTCGGATTCGAGAGCGGCAGTGATGGCGTCAGAGTCGGCCAGCCAGCCGTCCGCCGTCTTGATCACCGATTCACCGGCAACTTGCCCTCGAAATTCACGTCTAGGAACCTACGAGCACACGCATCAGGAGAATGGGGAACGGGAAATGTGGGTAGAGGGGAAGAGAGAGCGGGTAGAGGGAACGGGGAAGAGGGTAGGTAGGAAAAAGGGGGCAGGGGGCAGAACGATGAAGGTGTGGAATCAGGATTCAGGTTGAGAACGTGAAGAGAAAGTGGTGCAGGGATCATGAGTACGAAGGGGGGAAAACGATGTGGCACGAATTGATGGAACATGCTGGTCATGCTGAACGACATGAGCTTTGGAAGAAAGGGGGAGAACGAGTGTGTGGATGTAGGGAGAAGGGTCTGAGAAGCGTGGACAAAGTCCGGGAGATGATTGAGAAAAGGATACGAGGGACGAGGACGTCAGAAAGCGCACCATTGCGGCTTGTTGGTTGCATCGATTAGGCGGTACGAGTACGGTATACCCTTCTCCTCTACAGTAATGAGCACGCGCTGGGAGAAAGGACCTGGTGGTGGGGAAAAGCAGGTGGAGTTGGTTCAGATGGTTCAGGACAGAGGAAGAGTCGCACAGCTGCAAAATCGCTTGAAGCTCGGAGGTTAGACGGAGGCTGCAAATACAGACGTTTGGAACTAGAAAAGGCTGTTAAGAAAGGTTGGAAAAACAGAGGCAAGAGGTTGGCACTCGTGAGTAGACATCGGGACAAGTAGGTAATTTTCGATGAAGGAAAGGAAAGGAAAGTAGAGCCAAGGTCGAATCTGTACGAGCGAGAGGCATTCCTCACAATCTCCGAGCTTATCAGGCGATCCTATGGCCGCCTTCACCAAGACTTCAACAGGCTCGGTGATCTTCGGTGCCGCTGCCATCGCTGTCACCACCCGAGCACGCACCACACGAGCTTTTCCAAATCCCGCAGGAGTCCGCGCGGGGAGCTTCGCGCCGAGGAACGCGGAAAAGGAGAGGCGAGAGGCGGAAGGCGCAGCGAAGGGGATACGCGGAAGGGAGGCGGTGGAGCTGAGAGTCGTAGCGGAAGGGGAGATGAGGCGAACAGTGGAAGAGATACGGAGGGTGAAAGAGGAAAAGGCTTCCGTGACCGCAACAAGGGGAGATGCGGTGGCGAAGACCATTATTATGCGAGGAAGGTGGACGGTGGACGAGAAGCTAGCTGGCGTAGTGGAAAGAAGGAACCACACGCATGCAGACTAGCTAGGATAGAAGAATGCTTCTAGAATGCTGCAGACAAATTCTAAATGCAGAATGCTTCTAGGTACTAGAAATTGGGTTGGGAATTGAGAAGGAAATGGATGGGGAACATGGTGGGGTGGGGGGTAGTATACGGTAATGTACTTTGCCAAGGGGTACAGTAGTACAATACAGTTATGGGTTCGAGCGCACACTTGTGAGGCAGGGAGAGGGACACTTGGCTGCAAGAGAAAGTGGCAGAAATGAAAACGAGCAATACGTTCGGTTTGTTACGTTGCAGAACGGTTTTGAGGGCTGAAGCGGATCCGAGGCATGCCGTGATTCGATGCATCGGGTCTGAAAGATCCAGTGCATTCATTTTGGCCCAGTTTTGGTGCTGATGTGGAGGTCCATGAGAGGTTGATCTGTGTGCGTTGGTGAGGGACGAATGCGGTTGAAACATTCTATTACGGGAATCGAAACAAGCATACTGCGTCTACATTTCTGTCGCTACATTGCAATTTCATATTTGGTGTAGTCCGCAGTTCTGCCAAAATCACACTCCAAACTTCAGCACTACAGCATTTCGATTTCTCGAGACTGTCGCACGCGCTCTGCGCTTTGGAGATCACAGAACGGATTATTTCTCCAAAATGTGCTGAATTCACCACCATTCTGGTTGACGCTAGCCGGATGCTCTTCATTAGTTGCCAAGCTCGCAAGTTTTCTTCATTCTTTGGCACTAGAAATCACGGACATGGGTGAGCCAGAGACTCGATGTGTAAGAGGCTGCTGCGTGAGCACAACAGTGAAGCTGAACGTGCCGAAAGCAGAGATAAAGACAGGGCCGCTGATTGCAAAGGGTAAGAACGTAAACAGTTATTCAAGTATTGGTATTTGAGGAGATTAGAGTTGCTTGATTAGGCGCAATGAGTGTGAAATGCAGGCCCAGAAAGCAGCGTATATGAAGGGTCTTTTTTGGAACAGCCAGTTGCCTTGAAGAAGCCACGATTGTCAACATCCGAGGATATGGATCGATTTCACAAAGAGCTAAAGCTCCTGAGGTAGTGAATTGTAATTCTCCTTGTAAAATGCTTTTGCAGCCTTGACCCGGGCTCACACTGCATCATTGCTTCCGTCTTTCTGTGTGAAGCTCGCTCAAGCATCCCCACATCGCCTCGTTGCTTGCTGCTCGAGCTTATCCTCCCGACTACGTTCTGGTTTTCACCCTTTATCGTGGAGGGAACCTTCATGAAGCACTCCACACGAAGCAGTGGAAGCCAAGTGTGCTGGATATCCTTCGCATTGGTTATCAGGCTGCTCAAGCACTGGCGTACGTTCATTCTTTGGGCGTTGTACACCGGGATGTGAAACCATCCAACATCTTGGTATGGCTGTGTTCAGGTCCCTTTCTGCTGAGATTCTATAACAGTGCCGTTTCCTGACAGATGCTTGAGAGTCAATGCAGATTGATGACTTGGGCAACGCATTTCTGTCAGACTTTGGACTTGCTGCACACTCCAGCGAGCTCCAAAAACATACTGCTGCAAATTGGAAGTCATCTGGGAAACCAACAGGAGGCTTCCACAAGAAAAACATGGTTGGAACTTTGAGGTGAACTCATCAAGCGTTTCTGCCTTCAGAGACGTAAACATCGCGAATTTCTGTACAACGGTTACATGCCCACGTGGACTTGCAGGTACATGGCACCTGAAATCCTCGCGAAGGATGTTCACACCTTGAAATCAGATGTTTATAGCTTCGGCGTCACGTTCAAGTATGTCTTTTTGCCGTACATTTGTTTGCATTAAGCATTTTTCGTGTGATCCCACCATAATTTCGGCTCCTTTTGACATCCTCCTTTCAGCGAGCTTGCCACAGGCGTCATCCCTTACTCTGACTGTACAACTGATGTCCAGGTAAAACCTCCTTTTTTAATAGCATTGTAACCATTGACTAGGCATAGCTACATAACAGGCACAATATTGCTTGTCTCCTCACCACTTGCACTTTTGTCCAGGCTCACACTGTGTTGGAGATGGATTATTCTGAACAGCAGCTGGCTGCAGCTATTACCACATTCAATCTCAGGCCGAATCTTCCTGGAAAAAGTGGTCCAGCCACAGAGAGACTGCGAAGCCTCATTGAAAAGTGCTGGCATCCGAACATCAGCTTGCGACCTTCAATGTCAGATGTTGCGCATGACATCGAGAACATTCTCTCCGGAAGTGTGCCCTTTTCAATCGACCACACCCAACAGCCAAGCATAGTGCACAACCAGCCAGATCCTTCTCAAGCCTTTCCACCTGAAGAGATTCTAACTTCCAAGGATACTGTGCTGCCAAGCAAGGTTGTGGATCTTGCCAGGCAGGTAACAGCTCATACTTCAGCTATTTCCATTGGATCTTTTGCAACAAGTGGGGCAAGAGAAAAAATGGAAGATCGACATTTTATCAAGGCATTCACGGTTGCATCTTCCACAATTTATCTGTTCGGGGTTTTCGACGGTCATCGAGGTATGCGTTGCTGAATCTACATAATTTTGCAAGCCGTTGATGTATTATCTGAATGATTGAGAAGAATGCACGCGGATTGCTTTACAGGGTATGAAGCTGCAGAGTATTGTGCACGGAACATCCCTGGAGTTGTAATGGAGAAGCTTTCGGATCTCAGGTAGGTTATTTCTTGACATGCAGCCAGCATCCTCTCCTGCATGAACCCTTGACATTTCCGTTTCAACTGTTTTTCAACTGTTCCTCACTTTCCCCTTCCCCCTCCCTCCTGTTTCCCCCCTCGCTCCTGTTTCCCCCCTCCCCATTCCTCCCCCCCCCTCCCCTTCCCCTCCGCCCTACTTCCTCTTCTTTTCAATTCTCACCTGCATCCGCTTTTCAGTCCACCCGAGGCCCTCATTGCGTCCTTTCTGGCAACTGACAAGGCCTTGGAATTAGAGCTGAGCAAGCAGCGAAAGGCTCGGCCTGACAGTGGCAAGGGGTGGTACCCCGGGTGCACAGCATGTGTGGCCCTTGTGATTGGGACCGACATCTACATTGCCAACGCTGGCGACTGCAGAGCTGTTCTGAAGCAGTCTGGAGAAGTGAAGGCGCTGTCCCATGTATGGCCTCATCCACATGCATACCTGTGGTTTCGCTGACGTGATTGCAACGACATACCGCATGTAGTTTTTGTGAAGCCTAGCCTTTTTGTTAACACCTGCTATTCTTCATGTCTACAGGATCACGTCGCTAGTGACCCTGAGGAGCGCAATCGAGCAGAGAAAGCTGGTGGTTTGGTGCAGTGGCGTGTCAACACGTGGCGTGTGGGAACTGCCGGGATTGAAGTGAGTCTTGCTCATGTTTTTTTTTTTTTTTTTTTTTTTTTTTTTTTTTTTTTTTTTAATGATAAAATTTCTTGTTATAAACAGCTAGGGACCAGCATGTTCAGGTGTCGGGTGGGTCCATCGACTTGGATATTAAAGTTATTATGCCTTTTTGCTGTTCAGGTTACTCGGTCACTGGGTGATCACGACATGAAACCTGCAGTGACAGCAGAACCAGAAGTTACCCACCACAAGCTCTCTGAAGACGACGAGTTTCTGGTGAGTCCAGGCACCAGACCCATGTGCGCATCTAAGCTCTGCTTTTCTTGCAGTATGTGGCTGCAATATCCACAACACACATCATCCACTGTGCTGTACAGGTCATGGCGAGTGATGGGCTGTGGGAGAAGTTAAGCAATGAGGAAGTGGCACAGTACGTGCTAGACACTGTAAAGGAGCCCTCAATGAGCAGCAAGCGCCTGGTGACAGAGGCAGTGGATCGCGGCAGTCAGGATAATGTCACAGCTATTGTAGCGTATCTGAAGAATGTATCCACGGTGGAAAGGATTTACTAGGTAAGAGCTGATGTGGTGTGTAGTGGAGCTTTACTACCCAGTTGTTGCAACTTGCAGTCTAAGCATTGTGAGGAACAAACCAAACGAGCAGAGCTAGAGCTGAAACCACTACAGGTAGCATAGTTGGAATCCTGCTAACCAGGTTGATAACAGGAAAAAGATGCAATGCAAGTGCTTATGTCTCTATGTCAGCTGCTCTTTCTCCTTCCCAGGAAAGCTGCTAAAGTTGCCTGTTTTACCACCTTTTTGTTCCCTGTGGCCTTGGAAGGTGCTCCAACTGGCTCTCTATTCTGCTTATGAAGCACATGCGCTGCTGCTTTCACATGCTCCGAAGATCTTGCAGGCTGGTCCACGAGTACCTGCTTCAAGTCACAGAATGGAAACAATGAAGCCAGAGAAGCCGTTAGTTACTGACCTTTGCCAGAAAACCTACAAACATAACTGCACAGTAACCAACTTCAAAGGATCCTCAGACCACCATACGTACCTTATCAGTGAGTTTCTCTTTCTTGGCAGGAGAAGCTGACCATCCCTTCTCCATCTCCCTGCTCCTGTTCACTTCCCTCAACACCTCTGACTGCTTTCTATTGGCAGCAGTTCCAGCAGGCATTGGAGACAGCAGAGGACGGGTCGGCGTGTTCATAGGTAAGGGGGTGTGATGATGTGAGTAATCCTTGTCCTCTGCTAGTGGAACCACCAGTGGACAGAACCTGGTACCAGCATCAGCAGCTGCAGACCGTGCAGCAGATGCAGAGAGAGGAGCAGGAGATTGGTAACCAACAGGAGGCTTATGAGCAGCAGGAGACTTGTAAGCAGCAGGAGCTTTATGAGCAGCAGGAGGTTTCTGAGCAGGAGAGCAGTGACCAGCAGAGGTGGCAGGTACTCGGGTGCTCTCTGTCCCGTACAGCTCCGATGAAAGGCGCTTCTTCTGCATTGCTTTCGTCTGCTGCTGTTGCTCCCTCTGCTGCTGGTGTTGTTTTGCCGCCTGAGGAGACTGCAGCTTCTGCACTGTGAAACCATCTCCGTCCCGCCTCACTCCCTCGCACCTTCCCCTTTCGTTGAGGCCCATCACAGAAGAAGAAACATCAGCTTTGCCTGACGCCCCCGTTCTTCCTTTGCTGGATGCCGACACACTCTTCTGCTGCGCTTTAAGATAGAGAGAAAGCTCCTCTCCCTCGAGCACCACCGCACCACCATCTCCTGACCCCCCCTCACTCCCAGTGCTGATCCCAGACACAGCAGCTTCGCTGCCGGAACTGCCATCCAGGAGATCATCCAGGCGTTTCCGCTTCTCAGCACCATTCCCCTTCTTCCTTTGATTTTCCTCACTCCCCTCTCTCACACCCCTCTCCTTACTCCCCTCCCTCACCTCCCTTTCACCAGTCCCCACGTCACCCTTCAGGGAATTCTCCAGGTGGTTCTTCAGCTGTTCTAGGCTCTCCCTCTTGCGCTTGGTCCTTTCCCTGTCCGCATCCATACTCAAATTGCCATCCCTGCCGGTCGCCAGTGCCCTTTGGCTTGGAATTGCCATTTTCGGCTTGACTGGGGCCGAACCTGCAGCTGCAGCAGCAGCAGTAGCAGCACCGGCAGCACCAGCAGCAGCAGGAGATGCGTGCGGGAGCGACGGCAGGAAAACAAGCTGCGATTTCGGTGCAGAGTGCACATCCACGTGTTCCGCCTTGTGCCTCTTCTCTACCGACTCACCTGCAGGCGAGACAACAGGGTCTGATGACACAATGGGATCTGACTCCTGCGTTCCTCCCATTCCCCCCGCACCAACTTCCCCCCTGCCTACACCCACTCCTCCAATTCCTCCTCTCCCTCCACCTCCTGAACCCCTTCCTCCTTCTCCTGCCCCCCCTCCTCCACCTCCCCCTCCCCTTCCAGTGGCAGGTTTCCGCAAACCAGACCATGAAACCAGAAAGCTGTCTCTCCCCCCCTCCTCCTTCCTCTTCTCCTTCCCCTTCCCCACGTCCTGCTTACTGTCCGTCGCCTGCCCTTCAGCCTGCTTTCCTTCTCCTAGCTTCTCCTTCTGCTTAACCCCCTGGGACTTTCCAAGAACCCCCCACGCAGACACCATTGCCCCGGAATGGCAGTGATTTTGCGCTCTATCCTGGTTGAGGTGGTATGGGTCCCCCCCCATCTCCTCCTTCCTCCTTTCATGGTGTTGAGAGTCATCATCGTTACTTCCAGCAGCAGCAGCAGCAGCAGCATCACCAGCATCACCAGCCGCAGCAGCAGAGGCAACACGAGTGGAAGCAACAGCAGCAGCTCCAGTTCTGAGCCCGCGACTGGTTCCCCATTTGTTGGAGAAGATATTTTCTCGGGAGAATTCGTACGGAGTGTCCCATCTCCATGCCACCTCCTCTGCCACATGTACTACCAGCTTTGTCAGCACGCTTGGCAACGGCCAATCAACACGCATGAAGTCGCGCACCTTCTCAGCTTCCGTCGCCTGAGGAAGGCGAATGGAGGGAAGGGGGGAGAGGAAACGGATGCTTAGTATGGTTATTCATCTGTTATATGTCAAGTGGGTTGGTGAGGGTCAGGCGGGCACAGAGTGGACAGAAGAGTGAGGAGAGTGTGAAGGGGAGTGAGTGTGGAGGGAGCGAGTGAGCACGAAAGGGAGTGAGATACAGAGTGAGGGGAGTGAGGGGGAGATAGGAAGAGGGGGTGGAGAGAGTGCATACCTGTGCGGAGCTGAGAGCGCAGCTGCCATAGGCTGCATCGTACTTGTTTGTGAGGGAAAAATGAGGGTCGGTCCTGATGATTGGGACCACATTCACGTGTGGGACAGAGGGACGGACAGAGGGATGTTTCGCACAGAAAGGGAGAGAGTTAGAGAGAGATTGGGGAGTCCCTGTGTGCGCAGCTGACACAGGCTGCGTCGTACTTGTGTGTGAAGACATAATGAGGGTCGGTCGTGACAAGTGAGAGCACATTCACGTGTGGGACAGAGGGTTTGACACAGAAAGAAGGACAGGAGAAGTCAGTGGACGGGCGGAAGTGAGGAGAACTGGGGAGAAGAGAGAGGGAGGAAGAGAAGTGACTGGGTAAAGCTAGCTGCAAGCTCTCTGCTTCTCTGCTCTCTGCTCTCTGCTTCTTTCCCTTCCCCCCCTCCGCCTCTTCCCTCTCCCCCTCCCCCCCCCACCCCCTTTTCGTATCCGCCGCCTTCCCCTCTCGTACCTCAGAGCTGCAAAGTCGGAAGGCGAGCAACCGATCTCCACTGCTGCTCTCAGGAAATCAGCAGCTGCCTCGTCATCCCACCACATGGGAAAGCGCCAGCTGGCAACGGAGGAAGGAGGGGGAGGGGGAGGGGGAGGGGGAGGGGGAGGGAGAGGGGGAGGGGGAGGGGGAGGGGGAAGGGGAGGGGAACAAGAGTGATTGATTCAGGTTAATGAGGTGCCATAAAAGGCAGATCGAGAGGGGGCGGGCGAGGGGGAGGGTCGGGGGAAGAGTGAGTGATGCTGGTGAGGGGGAAAGGAAGGAAGCAGCGGTTGGGGAGATGGGAGAGGAGGGGTTGAGGAGGAGGGGTTGAAGAGGAGGAGGAGGAGGAGGAGGAGGAGGAGGAGGAGGAGGAGGAGGAGGAGGAGGAGGAGGAGGAGGAGGAGGAGGAGGAGGAGGAGGAGGAGGAGGTGGTGGAGGTGGAGGAGAAATGGCAGCCGCAGCAGCGGCAAGAGAAAGGCACCACCATCAAGGGAAAGGAATAAACAGAGAGAGGAGGCTCACCGCTTGACGACAGTAGAGGAGAGAATGGCAGTGATGGTGGGGTGCTCAAACCCTTCTGGCTTGGCTGCGGCTGCTGCTGCTAGCACTCTTACCACAGCTCGCATTTGCAGTCGACTGGATTTGGGGGAGGGGAGGAGGGGAGAGGCAGAGAAGAGAGGAGCAGGAAGGGAGGGGGAGTTGGCTGGGTGAAGGGTGAATGCGGAGAGGGAAGGGGTGTGAAAATTCTCTACTCATTTACGTAAAGATTGTTACACAAAATGTGAAAGGTAAGCAAGCGTACCCATGGATCATTCTTTCTCTCACCACACTCTGCACTCCATACGCACCTCTCTGCACTCCATACGCACCTCTCTGCACTCCTCACACACCTCTCTGCACCCTTCACGCATCGCAGTCGGAACGCCACAGTGCTCATAGCCGCCCTCGCAGCAGCAGGCAGCTTATCCCCTGCTGCTTCCTTCGGCCACAGCTCCTCTGCCTTCCTCCCATCCTCCTCCGCTGCAGCAGCAGCAGCACCAGGATGATTGGCAGCAGCGTACGCAGCAACAGCAGCGCTCAGGACAGGATCAGCGAAATCGATGGTGCGGTGGTGGGGTTTGGATTTCTGCCCGCGCAGTGCCAGGTCTAGGCTGAGTTGGTGTGACTCGGGGAGGGAGTGCACGCTACGATATACGCGCTCTAGCGCTGCTGCAACTTCTACCACCTCCTCCTCTGACCGCTGCTGCAGCTTCGCTGCCTGGCGGAGCTTGTCTGGTAGGCGAGGGAAATGGGGAAGGGAGGGGGGAGGGGAGGGGGAGGAGAGGGGAAAGCAGAGGGACGAGGGTGGGGGGAGTGGGGCGGGGAGGAGAGGCAGAGGAGGGAGGGAGATGCAACAGGAGGGTCGAGGGAGAAAGGACGTGCAGAAGTAGCTGGAGTTGGTGTGACTTGGAGAGCGAGTGCACAGCGAGTGCACAGCGAGTGCACGCCAAGGCACTCTCCCCGCACACGTTTTTTCTAGCCCCGCACCCTCACCTGCACTCCCCCGTACTCTCATCTGCTCGCCCGTTATTTCAAATCACCACATTCCAGTGCAGAAAAAAACACCTTCCACTCTAAATCGCTGTTTCTGAAGCGATTAACAAACAGCCCCCTCTCCGACTTTCTCGAAAGTAATACAAGCATTTCAACTCACCTCCTTCTAGTGCAGAGAAGAGCACCTTCCATTCGAGCCTCGTCATCTCTGCTTCATTCCACGGCTGCACTTTCTTCGCCCCTACTCTCACCCCATCTCCCTTTTTCAACTCACCTCCATCCAGTGCAGAGAAGAACACCTTCCATTCGAGCCGCTTGATCTCTGCTTCGTTCCACGGTCGCACCTTCTTCACCCCGCCTTGCCCTTCCCTCTTTGCCTTCCTCACTGCTCTTCCCCCCCCGCACTCACCCTTACTCACCCCATCCTCTCCTACCCACGCCACATCCTCTCCTAACCCATCATCTCCACCTACTGTGCCTCTCCCCCTCTTCCTCCCCTTCCCATCTCCCCCCTCCCCCTCCTCCCCACTGCTCCCCTCCCCACTTTCAGACTCCCCATTCTCCCCACTCTCCCCTTCCTCCGCCTTCCCCTTCTCACCCACTCTCCCTTCCGCACCCTCTGCACCTCCAGCTCCCGTCCCTCCTCCCTTTCTCACACCTCCTTCCGCATACACCACTTTCTTCCTCCTCCTTTCCTCCCGAGCCAAGGGAGTAAAACCATTCAGCGGAGCTGCCCGAGCTGCCCGGCAGGCCTCGGGCAGCAGCTCTTCCCAAAACTCCGCGCCTTGCTTGATTGCATTCCCATCTGCTCCCCCTCGCGAAGACCGGGTACTCCTTTTCCTGCTGCCACCACCGCCACCGCTCCAGCCAGGCTTCTCATTCTCATCTCCTCCATCCCCCCCACTACCATGTCCCCCCCTTTCTGGACTTCCCCTGTCCCAGTCTAGGTTGTCTTGATCCTCCTCTGCTGCTTCCTCTGGCCCCTCGGGTTCCTCTGACGCGAAAGTGGCTATGGAGAATGTGCTTGTACCGGATCTGCAGGGGGGAATGAAATCGGAGGATTGCAAGGCAGAGATTAACGGAGAAGGGGGGAAAGAGGGTTGGAGAAGGAAGCGCAAGCAGAGGAGGTGTTGCCACAGAAGACGTGAGTGTTTCCTTTTTCCACGTGCTTCCCTGATTTCGGCGTTTCTGCATCTCCCTCCCCAACTCACCCGCCAATGGTGCGTGTCTGCGTGCGCTGCTCCAGGATCTGGTCAATGTTCTCTGCCGTGAACCGCACGCTATCCTCCGCCGCCCCAGGGGTGGTGTGTGCCTGTGTGCCTTGTGCCCCAACAGTTACAACCGCCCCAAGGGTTCGAGTCTGCCTGCATGTCCCCTCCCAACTCACCCGCCGATGGTGCGTGTCTGCGTGCGTTGCTCCAGGATCTGGTCAATGTTCTCTGCCGTGAACCGCACGCTATCCTCCGCCGCCTCGTCTTTGAACAGCTCATACGCCCCGTGCTGCAGCAGACTCTCTATATCCTTGCTCTGCTCCGGATTCCGCACCCCACCTCCCCCTGCCACCCCCCCTCCCGCACCCCCTGCGCCCCCCGCGCCTTTCCCCCTCTTTCCACGCCCCCCTCCTCCCCCGCCCGCCCCGTCTGCTTCTTCTCCTTCTCCCCCGCCCCCTGCCGCATCCCCATTCTCCCCGCTCTTGGCGCTGGCGCCTTGGTAGTTGCCCAGAATGGCTTCCTCAAGCCCGTATTTGCGTGAGGCGCAGTCAAACAGCTGCTGCTCGTACGTGCGGTGAGTTATCAGCCGGTACACCTTGACATCCTTGCTCTGCCCGATCCTGCAGGTGAGGTGGGAGGGGGAGGGCAGCCGGGAAAGAATTTTGAGGTGACTTCAATAAGTATTCACCTAGCTATCAGGCGGTACACTGCCACATCCTTGCTCTGCCCGATCCTGCACGTGAGGGGGTTGGGGGGGGAGAGGGTTTGGAGTTGGGGAGAGAGTTCAGACAGGGTTGCGGAGAGGTTGTTTTGAGATGACTCCGAAGGCGCTTCACCTTGTTATTAGCTGGAGCACCTTCATGTCCCTGCTCTGCCCGATCCTGCACACGAGAGGGGAGAGGGGTTTAGGGAGGGTTGGGGGTGAGGGAGTTCGTATCACACCTTCACAAACCTGTAGACTGTATCACAGTGAGGCATCATGCCACATCACCTACAGCACCACCACTTCCCGTTCCCATCCCACCTGCCCCACCCTGCCCCATCCATCGCACCTGTGACAGCGAGCCATGGCCTGCAGGTCGTTCTGTGGGTTCCAGTCCGAGTCGTATATGATGCACGTGTCCGCCTGCAGCAGGGGCAACAGTGGGGGGAGAGTTGTTTGGGGGGGGGAGAGGGGGAGGGGCAGAATTTGTTGTGGAAAGAGTTGAAGAGGGGGAGAGAGCTTGTGAGTCACTTACGAGTGGACGAAAATGAGGCGCAGAACGAGAGCAGATTCCAAAAGACAGACAGTCACTTCATCAGGATGAGGATTAGAGTGAGTGGGGTGGGCGAGTGAGTGAGTGAGCAAGTGAGGGAGTGAGCGAGAGATGTATGCGAGTGGCCGAGTGAGAGTGAGTTAACAGGGAGGGCGGGAACGGGGATCGTACAGCAGTGAGGGTGATACCGAGCCCGCCCGCTTTGGTGCTGAGCAGAAACACAAAGGACGCACTGCCTGGTGCTGAGAACCGGTCAATAGCTGCCTGCTCACATGTGTGTCGCGGGGGGGTGTGTGAGGTGGGGGAGAGGGAATGGGGTATGAGGATGGGGAAAGGGCCGCCTTGGTGCTGAGCAGAAACACAAAGGACGCACTGCCTGGCGCTGAGAAACGGTCAATGGCGGCCTGGATAGGCACATATTGTGAGGGAGAGGGATGGGGTATGAGGTATGCGGTATGGGCATGAAGTACGGGTATGAGGTACGGGTATGCGGTACGGGTATGCGGTACGGGTATGCGGTACGGGTATGCGGTACTGGTATGCGGTATGACAGAATGAGGGATGAGGTAAGGAAACGCAATGCAGGACGCACCTGGCGCTGCTCGCCCTTGATGGAGCCATCGAGGCGCTCGTAGATGTGACCGTTGGCCGTGAGATAGTCCTCTAGCAGGTCCAGCATTATCACGAACTGATGGTGGGGGAGGAGAGGGGAGTGGGAGGGTGGGAGGGTGGAAGGGTGGGGGCACAATGATCATGAATTTTGAATCAACTCAAAGATGGTCCTCGAGCAGGTCCAGCATTATCACGAACTGATGATGCGGGGTTGAGAGGATTAGAAGGAGTGGGAGGATGTGGGGAGGGGGTTGGGGGAATGGCCAGTGAGATAGTCCTTTCAGAAGGTCCAGCATTATCACAAACCGGTGATGCGGGGGGGATAACGTGACAGGAACAAGGATGGAGAAATGTGACAGGTGAACGTGGTGCGAGGGGTGAGGGTGAAAGGGGTGAGAGGGGAGAGAGGGGTGAGACGTGGGGGGGTGCAGGGCTGAGGGAGGTTGAGGGAGGTTGAGCGGCACGGCACCCACCTGGGAGAAGACGAGGACGCGGTGCCCGGCGGTCTTGAGAGCTTGGGCTCAAAGGACGTAGTGGGGACAGGGGGAAGGAAGGGGGGTGCAGGGCGGGGGGAGGGCAGAACGGCACACCCACCTGGGAGAAGACGAGCACGCGGTGCCCGGCGGTATTGAGCTTAGGGCGCAGGGGGGTGGGAGCAGGGGGGAAAGAGGGCGTAGGGAGGGCGCAAGAAGGTGCAGGGAGGCAGCAGAGCGGCACTGACCTGGGAGAAGATGAGGACGCGGTGTCCCGCGGTCTTGAGCTTGGGCAGCAGCTTGTCCAGCAGAACCATCTTGCCGCTACCCTGCACCAACATGCGCTGCCTTAAAGCCTCCCCATCCACTGCGTCTCCTGCTGCTGGCACTGCTGCTGGGGGTGATGTGGGTGCTGCTGTTGCTGGGGGTGCTGGAAGTGCTGTGCGTGATGTGGGTGGTGGAGACGCTGGTGCTGCTTCCACAGCCGTGGCAGCAGCATTAGCAGGGGGGAGAGCTAGCGCAGCACCATCCGCCGCATCAGCAGCAGCAGGAGAGTCAGCAACTGGTGGCGCTAGCGCCAATGGGGCGGCTGTAGCAGCACCAGTAGCAGCTGTAGCAGCAGTGGCAGCAGGAGCGGCTGTGACAGCAGGAGCGGCTGCAGCAGCAGCAGTGGCAGCAGTGGCGGCTGTAGCAGCAGCAGCAGCAGAAGCAGCAGCGTAGGCCTTGAGCACCATGTCCTCCTCTAGCCCGTTGCACAGGAAGGGGTGGTTGCACAGCTTTCGCAGCTCCATGGCCTGATGGGTTTACGGATGGGGAGAAGGGAGATGGAGGGAGGGGGGAAGGAGGGGGTGGAGGCAGGTAAGAGGATTAAGAGGGCATGTCAAGACGGGCTGATAGGCGGATGGTTGCCCAGCTTTCGCAGCTCCATGGCCCGATGGGTTTACGGATGGGGAGAGATGGGCAATGTCAAAGAGAGCATGTCAACACGGGCCGATAAACTTGGTGGTTGCACAGCTTGCTCAGCTCCATGGCCTGATGGGTTTAGGGACGGGGAGAGGCGGGCAATGTCAAAGAGAGCATGTCAATACGAGCTGATAACTTGGTAGTAGCGCCGCTGGTCTCGCGTCAACTCCACCCACATGATCACCTCCTCCTTGCGCGGTAGGCTCTTCTCCACGTCCTCCTTCATCCTTCATTCACGTCCTCCATCCATCCCCCTTCAACCCTCCCACATGATTCCTGGCCTTACACTCGGCAGGTTTCTTACCGGCAACCACCCATGCCCTCTCCCTCTCCCCCTACTCTTTCCCCCGGCCCACTCACCAGGTTCCGCAGATTCGGCAGGTTCTTGTTAGACGCGCCCTGCAGCAGCGTGCCTATTCTGTTCCGATAGAGAGCCTGGTAGTAGCGCCGCTGGTCTCGCGTCAGCTCCACCCACACGATCACCTCCTCCTTGCGCGGTAGGCTCTTCTCCACGTCCTCCTTCATCCGACGCAGCAGCCTCGGCCGAAGCACCTCCTCCTGCAGCACCCGAACCTGCTCCGCGTCCGTGATGTTGCCGAACCGAGCCAGGAAGTCAGCCTCGTCGCCGAACGTGGCTGGGTCGAGGACGTTTAATAGGCCACTGGGTGGGGGAGAGACACACGGGCGGGGGAACGGGGGCAGGGGAAAATGGGGGAGGGGTGTACGGGAGAATAGGGTGTGGTTGAAGGCAGAGCAGGCGAGGGGCAAGCGAGAGAGCGAGTGAGGAGGGAGGGGGCGTATGAGAGAAGGGAGGGGCTGGGAAGAGAGGGCGGATGAGGGGAAAGCGGGTGAGGGGAGTCATGGGGCGATGAGAGAAGGGAGGAGCTGGGAAGAGACAGATAATAGGAGCGGCACCACTCCACTCCCACCAACCGCTTACAGCACCACCCCACTCCCCCCAACCACTTGCAGCACCACCCCACTCCCCCCAACCGCTTGCAGCACCACCCCACTCCCCCCAACCGCTTAGCACGCACAAGAGCTCGCGTGTGTTGTTCTGCACGGGTGTGCCTGTGAGCAGCAGCAGGCCCCCTCGCCTGATGCACAGCTCCTTGAGCGCGGCCGTGGTCTTGGCTGTCGTGCTCTTCATGCTGCCACGAAGGGAAGGAAACAGCCAACAGAAAGTAGAGTGAGCAGCAGCAGCAGGGCCCCTCGCCTGATGCCCAGCTCCTTGAGAGCAGCTGTGGTCTTGGCTGTCGTGCTCTCAATGCTGCCACGAAGGGAAGGAAACAGCCAACAGAAAGTAGAGTGAGCAGCAGCAGCAGGGCCCCTCGCCTGATGCCCAGCTCCTTGAGAGCAGCTGTGGTCTTGGCTGTCGTGCTCTGCATGCTGCCGATACAGGGAGATGGCATGGGGGTAGAAGATGGGAGGTGGGAAGGAACGGAGTGAGGTTGGGGCAGAAGGCACGAAATAGGCAACAGAGAGTAGAGTGGGCAGCAGCCCAAGCCAGTCCCACACAAACCCTCCTATCCCTCTCCTCACCGGTGTGCCTCGTCCACGATGCACAGCCCCCAATACTGCAGGGTGTTTTTGAGAATTCTCAAAAACTTCCACGATGCACAGCCCCCACCGCTCTGTTTCACCTCTCACAGGTATACCAACCCACTTCAACCCCATTATCCCTCTCTCTCACCGGTGTGCCTCGTCCACAATGCACAGCTCCCACCGCTCTGTGTCACCTCTCGCGGGTATACCAACCCACTCTAACCGTCTGATCCCTCCGCTCTCTTTCATCTCTCACCGGTGTGCCTCGTCCACAATGCACAGCTCCCACCGCACGTCCTTAATCTCTCACAGGTACACCACCCCACTCCACACCACCCCACTCCACACCACCCCACTCCACACCACCCCACTCCACACCACCCCACTCCACACCACCCCATTCCAAACCACCGCACTCCAACCATTCTATCCCTCCCTCTATCTCTCCTCACCGGTGTGCCTCGTCCACAATGCACAGCTCCCACCGCACGTCCCTCAGAGGCTTGCGGTCCTTCTGCAGGATCTCGAAACTCGTCAGCACCACCTGAGAGACGCCACGGAAACACGCAGGTGAAACCCCAGGTGATTTCAACAAAGGGCTCAAGTCAACACTGGACAAGGGATATTGCAACATCCAAACAAATTAACATGCTCGCCCCCTCTTTCCCTCCATCTGCGCACTCCCCCCTTCCCCCCCACCCCCAGCAGTCCCGGCAGTCCCCTTTTTTTTTCCCCATATGCCCGAATCCCCACCCATGCTGCCATGTTAACTCGCGAACCTCCCTCTCTCCACTTCGCGTCCCCTACCCTTTCCTCTCCTTCCTCCCCCCTTTCCCCATCTTCCCCCCGCTCCCCCGCGCCCCGCCGCGCCTTCTCGCCCCCCGTTCCCCTCCGCGCAACTCACATGCGCGCGCACGCCGCGTCCGCTGGGGTGCGCGAGCTCGTGCTCGCGGATCAAGGCGCGGTCGTCCTTAGACCCGACGAACGGCACGCAGTTAATCTCCGACGACGAGAGCGACTCCAGCTCGCGCTGCCAGTGCGGGAGCGTGGACACCGGCGCTACCACCAGGAACGGCCCGCGCACGCCCGTGCGCAGGCGCACCGTCTCCAGCAGCGCGACGGACTGCGCGGAGTCGGGTGGGGGAAGGGTGAGGGGGGGGGTGAAAGGGGAAAGAAGTGGGGGAAAAAGGGGAGGGGAGGGGGAGAAAGGGTGCGCGGAGAGCAGGGACAGTTGGGGAAGCGGGTGAGACGGGGAATGGTAGGAAAGGGGAAAAAGGGGAGAGGGAGAAGCGGAGAGGGAAGGGGGGAGGAGGGGAAGGGGTGAGGGGGGGTGAACATGGACGCGCGGCCGGCGCGGAGAACGATTTTGCGGAGGGGAGCGAAACTTAGAGTAGATGGGATGGGAGACAGGGATGTAGAAATGGACGAGGTTGCGAGGAGTGAAGTGAAGAACACACAGCGGCGATTTTCCACACATCCCACCCGCCCCTCCCAACTCTCCCCCTCTTCCCCCCTCCCTTCTTTTTCCCCGCTTCTTCCCCTCCCCCCTCACACCCCCTTCACCCCTCTTGCCGATCCCCCCACCACTTCCCCCCCACACCCGCTTCCCCCGGCGCACCTGCATGGTCTTCCCCAGCCCCATCTCGTCCGCCAGAATGCAATTCACGCCCTTGTTATAGTTGTGATACAGCCAATCAACGCCCGCCACCTGGTACTCGCGCAGCGTGCGCCCGTTCTTAAACTCCACCCCCGTCGACGCCGGCTCTCCGCGTTTCACGGCCACCGGAGCGCGCCGCCGCATCGCGGCTTTATCGTAAAAGATGTGAAACTTTTCGACTGCCCGGACATCGTCCGGGTCGTCCCGAAGCGCGCTGTCATCCTCCCACGTGGCGGCCGTGTACGGAAGCGCCTTCCACTTGACCAAGTAACGCATCGCGTCCTTCTTCCGCCCGCGCTTCGTGCTTATAACGCGGTCCACGCGCAGGTAGTCCGGATCGAACGGAAGAACCAGATCCGACTCAGCACCGACGACCTCCACGTCAGCGTCGTCGTTCGGCTCGCAACTCTCGCCGCTGGCAGGTGCGGTTGTAACAGCAGCGGCAGGAGCAGGGCCGTCTTTGACAGCGCTGCGGGCGGCGGTGGAGCGCTGGCGGAAGGACATGAGGAGGCGGGGGAAGAGCTCCTGCAGCGCTGCTTCCGTCATCCACACCACGTCGCGGTAACTCCGCCCGACTAGCTTCACCAGGAAAACCGGCGCTGGTGACACCGCAGCAGTCACCTCAGCGGTCGCTGCAGGAGACTCTGCAGCAGTCATGACAGCAGTCGCCGCCGCTGCTGCTTCTTCCTCCGCCGCCGCGCCCCCCTCTCCGGCTCCGCTCGTACCCCTTTCTGCGCTTGCTTTCGGCCCGCTGTCCGCTCTTTCTGCGGACGGCCGTTCCGCGGGTTGGCGCGCCAGCAGCACCTTTTCCACGGCGGCGGGGGGTTTCGTCACGAGTGGTCGCGACAAAAGCCACGCACTATCCGCGATAATAGCCGCTGTCTTCGAACCCGACTTTTGGATTTCCTTTGCCGTCTCTTTGGTCTTCCGCGTCACTCCCTCCTGCGCGCGCTGCTTCCGCCGCTCGCGCGCCCTGGCGGTGGACGACGCCGGCAAGACCGCGGCGGCTTCCGCCGCTGCCGCAGCAGCAGCAGCCGCGGGAGAAGAAACGTTACTGGTGGTGATGGACTGGAGGCGAGACGATCTCCGTCGACCTTGCTCCGGCTCTGGCGATACTGTGGCTGCCTTTTGACACCCTTTCTTGCCTTTACCTCTAGTTTCTTTCTCCTCCTCTTCTTCATCCTCTTCTTCCTCCTCTTCTTCCTCCTCTTCTTCCTCCTCTTCTTCCTCCTCTTCCTCGTCTTCGTCATCCACTTCTCCTTCCTCCTTTTCTTCCCCGCCATCCTCCTCTTCCTCCGTTTCCTCCTCCTCCTCTTCTTCCTTCTCTTTCTCTTCCTCTTCCTCCTCAGCTTTAGCCTCCACGCCACGTTGAACGTTACTCTCCTTCGCAGAGTCGGCTACGCCCGAGTCGCGCCGCGTCAGCTTCTTGCTACCCGGCAACGAGCTCGCCACTCGCTGCACTTGCCCTCGCGACGCCGCCGCCGCCTCCTCGTCTCCGCGCAGCTGTTCCGCGCGCTTACCCGCCAAACCGCCTGCGCTTCCGCCTTGCTTGCCTTTCGCCCGCGCGGAGTCCGCCTCTGGATGGCCTCTCAGCCGCGGAGACTGCCTGCGCGCCGAGTTCTTGGCATTGGCATTCCGGGGGGCAGCTTTTCCGGCAGGCTTGCCGCATCTCTTCGTGGGCCGATCCCCTCCACCGATATCATCATCGTCGTCACTAGAAATTTCTTCTTCGTCTTCGTTCGGCTCCGTCTTATTCCCGTTCTTCTCGCCGCCTCGTGGCTTCGCGTCCGTCGCGTCCTTGTTCACGCGTGCCGTCGCCGGCTCCGCCTCCTCTTCGACGTGCTCGCTTTTGTCACTCTCTTCGTCCTCACCCTCGCTGCTATCCTCTCCGTCGCCATCACTCTCCGCCTCCTCCTCGCCCGTTTCAACCGCGTCATCGCTGTCCTCCCCGTCCTCCGACTCCCCGTCACTCCCATCCGAACCCTCGTCGCTGTCGCCGTCACTGTCGTCCTCGCTACCTTCGTAATAGCTGGCCGGGCCGGCAGTGCGCGATCGTCCCGATCGCCTTTGACTGCCATTGCAACCCTGAGAGCCGTTCTCATTGTCGCCTTCGTCTGCCTCGCTTTTCAGTCTCGACGACTTTCTGCGAGCGGCTTTCGCCATGGATCCTGCGCCTCGACCGCCGATTTCCGGTCTCTGTAGAGCTGCCTTTCCCGCTTTAACTTCACGTTCTGGCGTTTTTCCCGAGCCGACCACCGCTGCTTCGTCTCCAGGTGTCATCGGGGCAGCGTTCTCCGCGTCGCCGGTGCTATTTGAAAGATCTGCAGCAGAACTGTCTGGGAAAATGGAGGGAGTGGAAGTATCTCCGCCAGCCAGCGACTTGCTCTTTCCAGCTGCTGCTAGCCCAGTGGAATCATCGACGCAAATAGCAGTCATGACAGAAGGGGGACCAGAGTTGAAGTCGTGTACTAAGAGCCAATGCAGGGCGAAGATGCAAGGGAATGGAACCGGAATTCGTACATAGAAGCCAGTTCCGCTATCTTCGAGTTCAGACGTGGCAAGCTGAGGTGCTACGAGGAGGTTTCTGCTCTAGCGTAGTCGAGACGACTGGAGTGGTCGGTATCGGAAGTGAGTATGCACACGGAATGAACTGGATTCTATGCTTTCAAACGAGAACACGAAAGCTGAGAGGCAGGCAAATCGCGGGAGCGGCTGGTGGGTTTGGTGGAATGTGCCAGAGAACCAAAATCGTGGGAACCGAGCCGCATGTTCGGCTTCTGATTCAAACACAGAATTTGAATTGCTGAGGGAAATGTTCTCCTCTCCAGCATTCCAGTTTGAAGGTTTGAACTGCACGATTGTATCGGAAGCTGTGGCTGGATTCGAATGAGAGTTGATGTATACACCGCATGTACTTTCATGCATATATGTTGTCAACAACTACGACAGAATTCGATTCACAATTGGAATGTTCTGCTGTCTCGAACATTCTTCACCCTGCTGAGCTCCTTGGTTGTGTGTGCATCCAAGCTGGATAGGGTTCGTGCCACAAAAAGTCCAGGCACCTATCGGATTCTACTTTTCTTCCACGTGGGATAGCCTCGTCACGGACGTTAGCAGTTATCTCCTAGGTTCGTTGCACACTAGCCGGGCCGCGAGCTTCTCCTCCCAAGCCTCCACCTCGTTCACCCAATCAGGAGCAGCGTGAAAGGGACCCACTTCTTGTCCTTGGCCTTTCAAACTCCAAAGGGTCATTCAATATGCCCACAATCTTCCCAGCCATTATGATTGGCAGAGAAGCTGGGTCATGGGGGGGGGCATGTCGTCATGAGATAGAAGCAGGGCCCAACCCCCCAAACCAGTGTCAACGCGGTGCGACAGTCGAGACGGAACATGCGCCACGAGATTTGATGACAAAAACAGGTTTTTGGTTCCCTTCCCCGTCCCCATAATATTCGTGCATGTGAGGTGAGAGGGGATGTCGAGGGAAAAGCAGCCTCGAGAGACGGAATCAGTTTTTACTTGTCGCGGATGCTGTTTTGACCTTCGATTGTTTCTCGACAAGACTCCTCCAGCCTCTGACGCGGGGCTTAGTAGATCCCGCTGCACTCGTTTTCGTCAAACCGTAAATCTGTAAGGGTTTTATGTTTCCACTGTCGCATTTGGTTCGCGGCATAGTAGTAACACAGACGTCGTCGCGAAGACGTAAGATCTATCTGGCAGGCGCGGAGTCGAATCTAGAAAAGCCTCGGCGGCGTCCGCCAATCTGGTGCGCGCGCGTAAGCGCCGCTCTAGACGAATCATACGCAACATACATTTGCAACGTTTTCAGTAATTGATAGATCCTCTCTCTTTCTCCCTCGTCTACAGTTTCTAAGCTTCTGAAACGCGTCTCGTAGCTGGCAAGGCATCTCGTGCCGGGCAAGTCATCACAGGAACTCCTCGTCTGCTCGTGTTCTTGGAAGAATCGCGCGCATGCTCCCGCGTCCACACTGGAGAAGTTTGAGAACGTAGGAAGTTTGCGACAGCCGCCGCCGGGGTTCCGACTTCGAAATTTCGACTCGAAAAATCCGCATTACCGTTAGTACGACTACTGGCTATTAACAGTGCTGCGCGTTGCCTCTTTAAAGGAGGCGAGTTGCCGTGCCCATGCGCTCCCCTCTCCCCCCGTTCCGCCATCCCGCTCCGCGAAGCTCTCCGCAATCCGCGGCGGCGCCACCACCGCCGGCCCCGTCGCTTGTGGCGCCCATCTCAGTGTTCCCAATGACCACGGCGACAATCCCGGCGCCAAGTCCGCCCGGACTTCCGCCCATCGGCGCGGCTGCGCCATCTGGGTTTACGCTGAACATAGCGTATCCCGCATGTTACGCCGCAACTCCCGCTATGGCTTTCGTCGGCAATCACCCTATGATGGCCGCAGCTGCCGCTGCTGCTGCAGCCGCGTCTGGGCAGCACCAGGCAGTCGTGTCAGTAGTGGGGGGGAGTTTCGGCGCTGGCGGAGGGGGAGGGGGGGATCCTAGCTGTGGCGGAGGCGCGGGTGGGGGTGGAGGGGGAGGTGGCCGGGGGAGCGGCATTGGCTCGCGGACGGGGATTTGCGCGGCGAAGCACATGGAGGCGGAGCAGAGGCGACGAGCGAGGATCAACGAAAGGTGCTAGTCATGTGCTATTCGTGGTGACGGTGGTACCATCATTCTGTGTGATGATGCTCCTATGATGCTCCTATGATGCTCCTATGCTGCTCCTATCATGGTGCTCCTATCATGGTGCTCCTATCATGGTGCTCCTATCATGGTGCTCCTATCATGGTGCTCCTATCATGGTGCTCCTATCATGGTGATCCTATTATGGTGCTCCTATCATGGTGATCCTATTATGGTGCTCCTATCATGGTGATCCTATTATGGTGCTCCTATCATGGTGATCCTATTATGGTGCTCCTATCATGGTGATCCTATTATGGTGCTCCTATCATGGTGATCCTATTATGGTGCTCCTATCATGGTGCTCCTATCATGGTGCTCCTATGCTGCTCCAATGGTGCACCTCCTAGTGGTTCTACTGGTGACTACTCGCAGTGCTACCACGGATTTATGTTTGTACTAAAATACTGTGCTCCCCTCTACCCACCGCCCTCTTCCCTAATCCGCTACTTGTTCATTTGAGCTCAGTAGTAAGTTCCAGAACAGCGTCCCTTCAACCTGAAGCATGACTTTTGAATCGACTCAGAAGTCACCTCGTCGCTTCAGCCCAAACGTGATTGATATAGAGGTGACTCGGTACTTGCATTACTATTACCCATGGTCGCCGCCGCTCTAGACAGAATGCATGGATGCATGGATGCATGGATGCATGGATGCATGGTCGCTGCGCTATAAGCCGAGACGAGACCGTGAAGTCCACACAAAGCCGACACCGGCGGCCGTGCTTCTGGAAAGGACTTCTGAGGTGCCTCAAAAGGCAAGCCCGCACTGATGATGAAAGGAAAGGACTTCCAGATCTGGAACCTCCGGCTTTCATTTCCCTTCCTTTTTGCCTGCTCGCCTAACCTCCCCTACCCAATCCTGTTTTTCTCTTTTCCTCCGTCTTCCTTCCTTCCCCCTCTTCTCTGTCGTTGCTGCGCCCCTTGTGTCCTCTCGCTGCAGTTTGGACGTTCTGAAGAGGTTGGTGCCACACCACGAGTGCAGCAACACAGCAGCGTTCCTGAGTTTTGAGTCGACTCAAAAGTCTCCGTCCCCTCTCCTTATCTGCCATTGCTGCTTCTCTCATCTCCTCTCGCTGCCATTTGGACTCTTTGAAGCGGTTGCTGCCGCACCATGCGATTTCGGAGGCGCCTCATTTTTTTTTTCTTTCTTTCTTTCTTTCTTTCTTTCTTTCTTTCTTTTCTTTTTTCTTCTTTTCTTTTCTTTTCTTTTCTTTTCCTCTGTCTTCCTTCCCGCGCCTCTCTGCCATTTCCACGACCCTCGTCTCCTCTCACTGCAGTTTGGACGCTTTGAAGAGGTTGCTGCCACACCATGCGCGCAGCAACACAATATGCGGGACATCGGTTGTGTTTCTTTCTCCTTTCCACCGTCTCCCCAACTCCCCGGTTCTCCGGTTCCCCTCTGTTCCACCGTTGCTGCGCCCCTCGTGTCCTCTCGCCGCAGTTTGGACGCTCTGAAGAGGTACCAAGTGATAATAAAAGTGTTTTGAGACGTCTCAAAACGCTCGGAAGAGGTACCACGAGTGCAGCAGCAACACAGCCGCGTTCCTGCCTTTGAGTCGACTTATAAGTCTCTGTCCCCTTTTTGTCTGTCGTTGCTGCTCCCCTCGTCTCCTCTCGCCTCTCCGCAGTTTGGTTTTGACGCGCTGAAGAGGTTGGTGCCAGCCACACCATGCGCGCAGCAACACACACAGCAGCATTCCTGACTTTACAATCGACTTAGAAGTCTCCTTCCACCTTTTGTCTGTCATTTCTGCGCCCCTGTTCTCCGTTCGCTGCAGTTTGGACGCGCTGAAGAGGTTGGTGCCGCACCACGCGCGCAGCAACACAGCCGCATTCCTGGTGGAGGTGTATGGGTACATTGAACGGCTACAGGAGAAGCTGGGGCGACTGGAATCCAAAGCCGCTGGTGGTAGTGCTGCTGCTGCTGGTGCTGCTGCTGGTGCTGCTGCTGCTGGTGCTGGTGCTGCTGCTTCTGGTGCTGGTGCTGGTGATGGTGGCGCTGCTGTTACCGCTGCTGGTGTTGGTGGTGGTGCTGCTGCTGCTGCGGCTGGTGGCGACGGTATTAGGGCCGCATCTCCTGGTGCTGGTGGTGGTGGTGGTGATGGTGGTGGTTCGACTGCTGCTACTACTGCCACTGCTGCTTCTGGTGCTTGTGCCCCTGCTGCTGTTGCATCGGAGTTAGTAGGAGGAAGCACGAGAGCTGTTGCTGGTTGTGCTCCTGCCGATGCTGCTGCTGCAGCTGCAACCGCTGGCGCCGCCGCTGCTGCTGCTGCTGACGCAGCTGCTGCTGCTAACGGTTGTGTCAGAAATACAAATCAGAAGCACAGTGATGCTACTCCTGCTGCAGATGATCTTTTACCTCCTCTTGCTGATGCGCCTGCTGCCGCTGCTGCTGCTGCTGTTGCTGCTGCTGTTGCTCGTTGTGGTGGTATGAAATCAACGGGCGCGCCTAATATGGTTGTGCGCATCGGTTTGAACAAGGGAAAGGCAGAGGCGAGAGGAGTGGGAGCGGCAGAGGCGACAAGAGTGGGAGCGAGCGAAGAACAGGATGAAAGGGAAAGAGGGAATACAGGTGGGAGTGATGGGGAGATTCGGAACGGCAGTCATTCTTGGGGAAGGAAAGGGAGCAGGAAACGGAAGAGGGCAGAGAGGGGGCTACAGAGAGGGAGGGAAAGGGCAGGAGGGACAGAGGGAAGGAGAGTGGAAGCAGGGTATGGGGGAGAAGAAGGAAGGGGGGTGGAAGGAGCAGGGTTGAGGGAGATGGGAAGGGCGAGGAGGGAAGAGAGAGGTGGAGATGGGTGGAGGGAGGTGGAGTTGGTGTTTCCAGATGCAGGCGAGAGAATGCGCGGGAAAAGGGAGAGGGGTGGGAGGGAGAGGAGGGGCGGAGGGGAGGGGGTGATAGGAGGGGACATGGGGATGGGAGGGGAGGGGAGGATGGGTGGGGAGCAGTGGATGGGAAGGGAGGGAGGGCAGGGCATGGGGCACGGCATGGGGCATACCCGGATAGATTTAAACGTGATGGTTGATGCAGGTGATGAGAGCAATTACAGGGACATAGGGGGGGGAAACGGCATTGGAGAGCAGTGGCGCATGGGGTAACACTGGGTGGGAGGGTGCGGAGGGGGGGCATGAGACATGGGGAGGGACATGGGGAGGGACATGGGAGGGACATGGGGAGGGACATGGGGAGGGACATGGGGAGGGACATGGGGAGGGACATGGGGAGGGACATGGGGAGGGACATGGGGAGGGACATGGGGAGGGACATGGGGAGGGACATGGGGAGGGACATGGGGAGGGACATGGGGAGGGACATGGGGAGGGGACATGGGGAGGGACATGGGGAGGGACATGGGGAGGGACATGGGGAGGGACATGGGGAGGGACATGGGGAGGGACATGGGGAGGGACATGGGGAGGGACATGGGGAGGGACATGGGGAGGGACATGGGGAGGGACATGGGGAGGGACATGGGGAGGGACATGGGAGGGACATGGGGAGGGACATGGGGAGGGACATGGGGAGGGACATGGGGAGGGACATGGGGAGGGACATGGGGAGGGACATGGGGAGGGACATGGGGAGGGACATGGGGAGGGACATGGGGAGGGACATGGGGAGGGACATGGGGAGGGACATGGGGAGGGACATGGGGAGGGACATGGGGAGGGACATGGGGAGGGACATGGGAGGGACATGGGGAGGGACATGGGGAGGGACATGGGGAGGGACATGGGGAGGGACATGGGGAGGGACATGGGGAGGGACATGGGGAGGGACATGGGGAGGGACATGGGGAGGGACATGGGGAGGGACATGGGGAGGGACATGGGGAGGGACATGGGGAGGGACATGGGGAGGGACATGGGGAGGGACATGGGGAGGGACATGGGGAGGGACATGGGGAGGGACATGGGGAGGGACATGGGGAGGGACATGGGGAGGGACATGGGGAGGGACATGGGGAGGGACATGGGGAGGGACATGGGGAGGGACATGGGGAGGGACATGGGGAGGGACATGGGGAGGGACATGGGGAGGGACATGGGGAGGGACATGGGGAGGGACATGGGGAGGGACATGGGGAGGGACATGGGGAGGGACATGGGGAGGGACATGGGGAGGGACATGGGGAGGGACATGGGGAGGGACATGGGGAGGGACATGGGGAGGGACATGGGGAGGGACATGGGGAGGGACATGGGGAGGGACATGGGGAGGGACATGGGGAGGGACATGGGGAGGGACATGGGGAGGGACATGGGGAGGGACATGGGGAGGGACATGGGGAGGGACATGGGGAGGGACATGGGGAGGGACATGGGGAGGGACATGGGGAGGGACATGGGGAGGGACATGGGGAGGGACATGGGGAGGGACATGGGGAGGGACATGGGGAGGGACATGGGGAGGGACATGGGGAGGGACATGGGGAGGGACATGGGGAGGGACATGGGGAGGGACATGGGGAGGGACATGGGGAGGGACATGGGGAGGGACATGGGGAGGGACATGGGGAGGGACATGGGGAGATAGAAGCAGGGAGCATGGAGCAAGGGGGGGTGATGGGGGGGAGAAGTTGCGCGGATGGGGAGGGAGCATTGGCTGCTTTTGAGGCGCCTCAAAAGGTGATGGGGGGGAGAAGTTGCGCTGATGGGGAGGGAGCGTTGGCTGGAGGGGATTGGAGAGGGGAGGGGCGGGAGGGAGGATGGAGAGTAGGAGAGGAGAGGGGTGATGGCGGGGTGGGAGATGGGGAAAGAGGGGGGCAGGATGGATGTGGGAGGGTTATGAGATACACAGCTGATGGGGTGGATGGGGGGGATGGGGGGGATGGGGGGGATGGGGCGGATGGGGGGGATGGGGGTGATGGGGGTGATGGGGGTGATGGGGGTGATGGGGGTGATGGGAATGGAGTGAGTATGCGAGGCAGACAGGCGAATGAGTGTGTTGATACCAGCAGTGCTCCCGCGCGCACAGAGCGGGGGAAGGATGTGAGGAGAGGAGGGCTTTTGAGACGTCTCAAAAGACAGGAGGATGAGTGTGTTGATACCAGCAGTGCTCCCGCGCGCACAGAGCAGGGGAAGGATGTGAGGAGAGGAGGGAGTTATGGGTGCAGAGGTAGAGGGAGCAGGCGAAATAGCGGTTCAGAGGCACAGGTACAGGGGGGGGTACAGGGGGGGGATACTTTTGAGGCGCCTCAGAGTTCTCAAGAGCCACTTAGAAATAGGAGAGTCGGTTCAGAGGCACGGGTAGAGACTTTTGAGGTGCCTCAGAGTTCAGAGGCACAGGTACAGGGAAGGGAAGAGGAGGAGAAGGAGAAAGAGGAGAAGGGGAAGGAGGAGGCGGATGAGGAGGAGGAGGATGATGAGGAGGAGGAGGGAGACGAGGAAGGGGAGGAGGATAAGGTAGATGAGGGGGATGAGGGGGATGAGGGGGATGGGGGGGATGAGGGGGATGATGGGTCCAAGCATAAATCCGAGGAGCAAGAGGGAGTGGATGGTGGTGAGAGGTCGTCGAAACCAGTCACAGGCATGAGCGTTTCTGAGAACTCTCAGAAGCGGCTCAGACTGTGCGTTACCGCTGCTGGAACTTACAGTGGGAGTGCTTTTGAGGCGCCTCAAAAGCGGCTCAGACTGTGCGTTAGCGGTGGTGGAAATTACAGTGGGAGTGCAGAGGTGAGGCGGAGTGGGGGTGCTGTTGCAGGGGCGGGAGGGAGGGATCGTGCTGCTGCTGAGGGGGGCGCAATGGCAGCTGAAACGGATGCACTGACGGCAATGGGGACACAGACGCACGCACAGGCACAGGCACAGGCACAGGCGCAGGCGCAGGCACAGGCACAGGCACAGGCACACGCAGAGGCAGTGGCAGTGGCAGCGGAAGAGGGGAAAGCGGTGGGACAAAGCATGGCATACAGGCAGGAGCAAGGCGAAGCAGCATTGAGAAGAAAGCAACATGTGGCACCACGAACAGAGGCAGCACGCGTTGTGGCAGCAGCAGCAGCAGCGGCACGCGCCACCACTTGTGGTGCTACCCTTGCTGCTCCTGCTGCTGCTGCTGCTCCTGCTGCTGCTGCTGCTGCTGCTCCTGCTCCTCCTGCTGCTGCTGCTCGTAGTGACACTGAATTTGCTGCGGATGTTCCTTCTGGTGCCCAGCTGTCCCAGGCGTCCCCTCCTATTACCAACACGCCTGCTGCGCCTCTGGCCCCTGCCCCTGCTACTGCTGCTGCTGTGGTTAGAGCAACAGTTACCAGGGGCTCTGTTGCTACTGCTGGCGCTGCTGCTGGTGGTGGTGTTGGTGTTGGTGTTGGTGGTGTTGCTGCTGCTAGTGCTGCTGTGTCTTCTGTGGCTAAGGGAACTGGTAGAAACCGGTAAGAAAGGATCAGGCGTTCTTCTGAGTGTTCTTGAGAAATCAATGCATCACGCAACTTATTCGAGTCATCTTGGGTCACCGTTTCCTGTGAAACCCTGTTTTGTTTTGTTTTTTTGTTTTTTTGTTTTTTTTGCCTACTTCTTACATGTCTCTGCGTTTTTTTGTTTTTCTTGACCCTGCTCCCATTTTCTCAGCAGGCATAGAGGATCAGCAAAAGCAAGTATCGGAGAAGCAACATTAGCATCAGCAGCAGCAGCAGCAGCGGCCGCAACAGCCACAGTGGGACCTCTCCCTACCCCAACAGCAACGCTAACCTTCCCAGAATCCTTCCCCACCACCACCACCACCCTCCCAGTCACCTTCCCATCGTCTTTCCCCCTCCCGCTCTCATTTATTCCGCCGCTCCCACAACCGTCATCACCAGCAGTTTCAGCAGCAGCAGTGGCTGATGCTGCTGCTATAGCACGGCAGTGGGGAGTGGCAGCAGCAGCAGCGCATATACAGGCACAGGCAGCAGCACAGGCACATGCACAGGTGCAAGCACTGGTGCAAGCAGCTGCAGCTGCTGCTGCGGGTGGTGGTGCGGGTGTTTCTGTGTCTTTTGAGGGCTCTCAGAATGTGGCTGCATCTGCGCTTGCAATACCGGCTGTAGGTGGTGCAGGTGTATCTGTGCTCCCTGTTCCTTCTGCTCCTGCTGCTCCTGCTTCTGCTGCTGCTGCCACTCCTTCGGCTCCTGCAGCTGCGGCTGCGGCTGCGGCTGTTGCTGCTGCTCCTCCTCCTGCTGCTGCTGCTGCCACTGCTACTGCTGTTGCTGCTGCTGCTTCAGCTGCTCCTGCTGCTCCAGACCATCCGACTTCCACAACAGCAGTCAGCAGTAGTAGTAATCTCCCCCCGGCTCATCCTGTCCCTGCTCCCGTTGTCCCTTCTCCTAGTGCTTCTGCCGCGTTTTGACACATCTCATCTCAAAACGAAAGGCCTCCGCACCGCAGCCCGCAGCCCACCTGTCCGCTATTGACTTGACTGCCCCGGCTCATCCTGTCCCTGCTCCCGTTGCCCCTTCTCCTAGTGCTTCTGCTGCTGCCCCTCGCCTTGCCTCCACAAACCCTAGACAAGCCCCCCCAACCCCAACCCCAACCTCTGGTAGCTCTTAGTACGGTAAATGGAACCGAGTGTATACCGGTATGGTTCTATAGAAGCTGTGGAAAAATGGTTATTGTGGTGTGAGTGAGGTGTATCAGGATAGGTATGATTGTGACACGCACATACCAGACATGTAACAGGGGTTTTGTGATAGGTTCGTGTGCCCATCATATTGTTTGTTGCTATATGTGAATTTCAATAATGTATTCCTATACACACATCTCCCTTAAGCAAAACGAAGCATGCAAACTCGCACAGGATGCCAGAAGCAGAAAATAATCAGTAACAGTAAAGAAAACACTAGTTATTACCACATCAGCCAGCAATGGGAAGGAAACCAAGAAAACTCCCACAAGCCTTCAGGTTAGGCACACACAGCATCTTCAATAAATGTCCCCCATCTCGCCACATGCCCTCTCACCACATGTCCCCACCACACCTCACAACAAAATCTAACCCACAAGGTGCAGTTGTCATGTCACCCACCACTCCACCACATCACACCACATACCACATCACGACACCTCACAAACGGCACATCACATCACATCATTTCAAGCTAGAGAGCACCTATGGTTGGCAAGCTTGGCGAGATTGGCTTTCACACCAACACCTTCCAGCACCAAAGGAAGGTGCCTGGATGCTGCTCAGTGCCCACCGCCTCTACAGACCAGCTAGGGAAAGCATTGCAAGAGCTACAAACAGCCCAACCAAACCCATACAGAGACGCGCTACAGCCTACAGCCCAATCCTACGAGAGGCGCTACAGCCGAGCCCATAAGAGAGGCGCTACAGCCAAACCCGTGATGGAGGCGCTACACAAGTCACACAGGCAGCGTGCCTCAGTGCACACCTCTCATCATCATCATCATCATCATCTTGTCATTTGCAACAATGTCCACAGCGCCCACAGCGGCCAGAGAAGCAAGAACGCCACGACTGCCAACTGCATTAACAGCCCTACAAGAAGAAACAAGCGAGATTCCACAACACAGTGATTGCCGAGGGGAGTAGAGTACAGAGAGAAAGAGTCAGAAAGAAAGCAAGAAACGGAGATGTGAGATGGTTGGAGAGGGGGGAAAGAGAAGGAAAGAGAAGGAATGTGAGGAAGGCAAAGGGAGCGAGAAAGAAGATATTATGCCTCCCTCCCCCAGCACACGTATGTTTTTGAGAATTCTCAAAAAACATACGAACACACCATGCCTCCCTCCCCCAGCACACGCCCCACCTTTCTTTATAGCGATCGCCGGCCGAGCCATCGCAGGCCCTTCATTGCAATCAAAGAGTTGGCATCCGGGATAAACCCACCGCCGCCGCCACTCCCACCACCACTACCCCCACCACCACCACTCCCTGAACCACCACTCCCGCCGCCACCGCCACCCATACCTCCTCCCACACCCCTCCCGTGCCTCCACGCCGGTCCCATCATAATCACGCCTCTCTTTCCCCTCCGTGCCTTCTCCACCTGCGACAAATCCCCCATAATCTCCTCCAAAAGCTGCTCCATCACCATCTCTTCAAGCGAAAACACCGACATTAAAGCCTCGGCACTCGTATCCGCCCATTTATCCAGCCCTCGGGCCATATCCCTCCTCGCAGCATCGTCCAGAATATCATAAACCTCGTCCGAAGCTGGAACCGGCCAGTCGTGCACCTCCTCCCAAACCTCCAGCAGCAAAGCCTGACCCTCAGGCCTGGGCCGAACCAGCGGCACCTGCTGCACCGCCGCCAGCCACGGGGACGCCTCCAGGAACGGCCCGAGCCTCCTTCCTAACGCCTCATTGACTGCGTCAAACAGAAGCCGGCGCTGCCGTCGCTCCTCCTGCCTCCTCGCCTGGTCTGCGGCAATCCAGGCTGGGTCGTCTGGGTGGACGCCAGGAGGAGGGGCAGGTGAGGGGCATGAGAGGGTGATTCCGAGTTCTAGTTGCTCGAAGACTGGTGGAGGGATGGGCAGGCGGAGGGAATGGATGGGCGGGTAGGGAAGGTTCTGCTGATACTGCATCTCCTCCTCCTGCTGCTGCTGACCATACTGGTTCAAATTCTGGTTCTGCTGCTGCTGCTGTTGCTGGTTCTGCTGCTGTTGGTTCAAGCCAACAAAGCCAGAGACAACAAGGATATGGCGAAGGTACTCTAGATCTTGCTCCATGCCCTCTATGTCGCCCAGACGCTCCATCAGCCCTGGGTCTGTAAGCAAATCCATCGGGTCAACGGGGTCAATGGAGTCAACGGGGGCAGTGGGGACTGCTAGGAGTTCCCTGGTGCTGGTGGTGGTGCTGCTGCTGGTGTTGGAGCTGTTGCTGCTGCTGTGAGGGATGATGGCGGTAGGAGGAGGAGAGGGAGAAGGAATAGGAGCAGGGAGATGAGGTGTGCCACCACTGCTGCTCGCTTGTGCCACCGCAATACCACTGCCACCGCCTCTGCTGCTACCGATTCCCTGCTGCTGCCTCTGCTGAGCAGCAGCAGCAGCAGCAGCCGCGCCAGCAGGAGGCATCTGTTCAGGCTTGCGCGCGGGGGGAGTGGGCACGGTAGGCTTTACACCCCCCGGGACTCCCCGCCTAGGAGTGTCAGCCACGGCTGTAGCAGCTGTAGAAGTTGTAACAGCAGCGGTAGTGGCAGCAGCAGCAGCAGCAGAAGCAGGGCCAGGAGTGGACCTACCATTGTAACCATTCCGGCCACTACCCACTCCACCAGCTTCAACCACCCTCCCACCACCAGCCGCACTGGTGGCACCAGCAGCAGCGGCAGCGGCAGCGGCAGCAGCTCTGCCAGCACTACCGGCATTCTCACCCCCACCTGCGAGCTTCCCCAGCATGAGCCAAGACTTGCCGCCCGGCACCACTGCATCCAGCAGCGCTGCTGCTGCTCCTGCTGCTCCTTGCACTGCCGCCCCCTTCCCATTCACAGCCCCAACCGAATGCTTCGAGAGCTTGCTCACAGACCCCTGCCTAGGCTTCACCAGCGCACTCGCCTCCTCCTCTTCCTCTCCTTCCTCCTCGTCCTCCTCGCCTTCCTCTTCCTCTTCATCATCCTCATCCTCTTCCTCCGCTTCCTCCTCTTCCTCTTCTTCTGCCGATACCTCCTCCCCTGCTCCGCTTACAGTGCGAGACAGCAGTGGGCTGGCAACGCCGATTTGCAACTCCCCACTGAGCCACACTCTCTCCTTGCGCTCACTCATACTCCTCTCGCCCTCTCCTCTGCTCAGCACACTCGCAGCACCTTCCCCGCCCGCTTGCTCCCCCTCGCTCTCCCCCTCCTCCTCATCCTCCTCCTCATCCTCCTCCTCTTCTTCCTCCTCCGCTTTCCCCTCCTCCTCCTCCTTCTCCTCAGCCATATCTTCCTGCTGCTGCTTCCAGTCCAGCGATTTAAGCGGCCATCCGAATTGCAGCGGCCCTTCATCCTCCTCCTCCTCCTCCACCTCTAGAATTTGCCGGCTCGCCGCATTGCCACTCACACTGCCATTAGCATACCCCGCACCACTCCCACCAGCGCCAGCACCAACAGAAGAAGAAGCAGAAGATAGCACTCGGGTTAAAGATGCTAATTCTAGCTCCATGCTCCCGCTGGTCATCCCAACCGCTCCTCCGCCGCCCGCTCCCCCCACTCCCCCGCCGCCTCTTCCGCCTCCCCCCATTGCTCCGCCGGTCCCAGCCGCGGCAGCAACAGCAGCGGCGGAAGCAGCAGCGAGCGAGTAGGAGGGGGAGAGGGCGGCGGAGGAATAAGTTCCGGAAGCGGAGCAGGAGGAGGTGGCGGAGTAGGGGGAAGCGGAGCCGTCGCCCGCGGATGCCTGCAGGACCGGGGAAAGGAGGTGCGGAAGCGGAGCTTGCGCTTGCGCGAGCACCTGCGCCTGCCTGGTTGCGGAGTCGTGCAGCGGAGAAACGGAGGCGGAAGCGGAAGAGGAGGCGGCGGAAGCGGAAGCGGCGGGGGAACAGGAAGCGGAGCACGAGGCGGAGAGGGAAGTGGCGGGAGTGGCGGCGCTGGGGGAGCTCGAAGCGCCAGTGCCGTGGCTGCTGCTCGTCGCAACGCCCGTTATGATGCTCGGGCCTGAGCTCGACGATGCGCTATGAGACACTGCGGCAAGAGAGCCTGTCTCTGCGCCCGCCTCCGCACTCGCGCCCGCGCGCGCGCACACGCCATTGGTTGCGGTACTGCTTTCCGGCTTGCGCACAGCTACGGGAGCGCCCGGAGAGCTGGCACCTGTGGCGGGGACCACGGGAGCAGAGAAACGACTCTTCTCCGCCGCCGCCGCCGCCGCTGTTGCCGATGCTGATGCTGTTGCTGCACGAGTCACGGGGAGAGAAATCGAGGCCGTGAGCGGAGAAGAGGAGGGGGACGACGAGGAAGCAGCGTCGAAGCTGGTTCCGAGCGCCGCTGCCGACGCGGACGCTTCGATCCACGCCGCCACCACACTCGCGCGGGTCGCCGCCGCCGCCGCCGCCGTTTGTTCCGCCTGCTGCCGCTGCGCTTGCTGCGTGAGCTGCGCCTGCGCCTGCGCCTTGCGCGGAAGAGGGATGCGCGAGGGGGAGGATGACAGCGCAGGGGAAAATACCTCCGCGGACTTGTCGTCCATGCCCGCGCCGATCCGGTTTCCGCCACTCCCACTGCCGCCTTTCGCGTACAGCCGCGCTTTGGCGGCTGTAGCCGCCGCGCTCCTCCCCGACGCGCTCCGTGCAGGCGAGCCAATCGCGGCAGTCATGTCGGGCGACGACACGTCAGCGCCATCGATTCTATCCGCGTGCCTGCCGCGATTGCCGGCGGGTTTCGCGCCACCAGCAGGCAGTTCTAGCGAGCTCGACGTGGTGAGCAAGGCAGCGTAGCTCCCGATTCCGCTTCCCGCGCGCTTCCCTCCCCCGCTTCCGCTTCCGCCGATGGCACCAGCTCCTCCGCGGACATCCGTTTCAGCGCGCAGACTGGCGGAAGATCCCAGGGGCGGGGAGAACTCGTAGAGCTTCCCCGACCCGCCGGGAGTGCGGCTTTCTTCCGCGTGCGCAAAGCGCGACTGGGGGGAAAGCGCGGAGGGCACAGAGGACGGAGGGTGGGTGGGAGAGCGGTGCGGGTGGAAGCGCTCCTTTCCGCTCGGGACGGGCGCGCGGAGGCCGCGCGGGTTTGCGCCTGCGCCTGCGCTTGCTCTGCTGTCTTCCCGGTCAGCTGGTCCGGTCGATCTTCCGCGACGACTGGCGGAAGCGGAAGCGCCGTCCTTTGCCCCTTTCCCCGCGCTTCCCGCATTGATGGCGGTAGAAACCGAACCAGTCGAAAGCGAACGGGCGGGGATGGCGGAAACGCTGCCTGCTGCCGCGCCTGCTCCGCCTGCCGCGGAGTTCCCCGCATTGTCCCCCCGGCTGCCGCGACTTTTCCCGCCTGACAGCGCTTGCGCGCGCGCGGAAGTTAACTCCGCCGGCATAACCGTCAGCAATTCGTCAGTCGACTTGCCGTCCAATCCTAACAAGCTGCTCGGGACAACGCGGCTGGAGTTCCCGCCCGTCGCGGCGGCACCGACGGCGGCGGCGGCTGCAGCGGCGGCAGCAGAAGCAGCGGTGGCTGCGGCACCGCCATCGTACACCTTCTTTCCGGCGCCCATCGCGGCGGCGGCGGCGGCGGCGGCGGCGGCGGCGGCGCTGACTCTATCGGCGGCGCGTGCCTTTGCCATAGAAGCCTGGGTGGGCGCGAATAGGCGGCTTCCTTGCGGAACGGGGGAGACGCTGCGCTCCCGCCGCGACCTCCCCTTAAGCCCGCTAGCACCCCCTGCTGCGGCAGCGGCAGCGGCAGCGGCAGCGGCGGCGGCGGCAGCTGAGCCTCTCGCAAGTCCCGCAGAAGTCGACGTGGCATGATCGCGGTTGATCGCGGCGGTTGAGGCGGAGGGTTTGGAAGAGACGGTGTCCGAGTCGCTAATGTCCTCCCATTTCGACGTGGAAGAAACAGCGCGGCTCGATGATGTGCTTCCGAGACCTAAGAGTCGTCGAATGTAGACGGACGTGCGTTTTGGAGTTAACGGCACGTCAGGTTCCTGGCGAAAGGAAGCAACAGCGAAAAAGAGAAGGAAGTAGGGAACGAAGACGGATAGATTAACATGCTTTCTTATGGGGCGCTTAGACGTCTTAGACGGCGTGACGAGCCTCATATTTGCACCAAAATGACGCAGCATCGTACGGGCCACATTCGACGGTCAAGAGCTTGCGGCATGACGTCCGTCAGTCAAGCAGTGAAGTCACGGGTCACCTACGGCGCTATCATCTACCACGGGTCACCCCGCCCCTGCGACGGGTCAATCAGCTGCTCACCTCGTTACTTTCCGGCGGCAGCGCCGACGGCGTGGGGTCGAGGCTTTCGCTTTTGGCTATGGCGCGCAGCACGGCGCTGCTGAGTGACGGCGGTCCTGCCATGGACGGGAGGATGCAGAAGGGGGATGGCAAAGAGAACGTAATCATGAGGAGTCACGGGGAAAGCAGGAACGGGATTGACACAGAAAACGAAGTTCTTGGAACAGCGCAGGCGGGAATGAAATGCCTCGATAGTCGGCGATCAGAGATTTAAACGCGCAAGTTACAACGGCCCTCTCCCAGAGAACGCGCGGGGTGGTCTTTTCGAGCATTTGCACCGCGGCACAGACTCAGCACCTCGGCGGCACAAGCTCCACCGCACATGATTGCATGTAACCACGGCACGCAACCGGCGTACCCAACCCTGTGTACCTCCTGTGCTCGTCTCCGTGAACCATGTTCCTAGGATGGCTTACTTGGGGAAGAGAAATAAGGTGCCTCCACGTAAGAGCTCATTGTGTGTTCCCCGCGAGACCGTTAAGCGTCCTCCGATGCTTCCCTCTCCTACTCCAACGCCCTACGATTGATGCTGTCTGCGACTGGTCCGTTCGCCCTCTCCACTCAGGTTACTTTCTTGTTCCGCATTCGCACCAAGCCCTGATTGGCACTACACACAGCTTCCGGTTCAGCGTCAACGCCGCACGGCCGCTGCCTGACACGGTAATCTACACGCCAAAAACTCCACTATTCTCTGACTAACCAGAGCTAAATTAGCCGGGAAAGGGCCCTTTCTGAAAACTCTTATCAAATGACTAAGGAAGTCTGAAGGAACAAAAGTTTCCTGGTTCTTCTAAACTTTCTTGACTCTCCTCTTTATCGCTTCTCTAATCACCGCAGTACTGGACGGATCGTAACGGGCTGGAAGAGAGCTTCTTTGAAGCTACCGCTACTAGTTTGTTAATGGCGGCTGCTTTGTCATGGCATTTGACAACTGAAGGTCGGTTGTACGAAGAGAGCTGTTATTCTGTAAGGCACAATGACGATTAGGACGGTCGAGGGAAGTGCGGCGCTGTTAGTAATCTTACGGGTAAGTGGCTAGCCCGGTCCGTCGTTAGAAACCAGAGTCCGAGAGAAGGGTTGAAAGTATCGTTATGTAAGATGACTAGAGAGACAATCTCGTTATGGACGGAAATTGGTTCCACTGCGGGGCGGATTGCAGGAGGAGGCTCTACAGACGAGGTTAGGAAAAACAAGCTAGGGGAAAGAGCGAAGCATGTGATGATCAGGGGTAAGGTGAGCCGACAAGACAGACGACGCGAATCAGGGGCAGGGGCAGAACGAGCTACTTTTTCTGACCCAAGCCTTGTCTGGGTAGTGTGCTGTGTGAAGGGGCAATTTCTTCGCGTCGAGAGCTTTGATGGAGATGGTGGGTGGGGTTCAGGCTAGTCAACAGTGAGCTTGCAAGTGGTCGCGGGTGCTGATGGGGGCGCAAGAGCGAGGTTGCATTGCAGGGGTTCGCCCGCATGCATCCATTTCGCATGGGGGCCAAATTGAAGAGGGGCAATGAGAGAAAAATAGGGGATTTGAAATGCGGCTCGAGCAACTTGAAACGAGATTGGCGAGGAGCGTGAGGTTCAACTCACCTTGGGAGGCGACAAGGTTGTTAGACGACCAATCAGGTCAAAGGTCTGGTGTGAGGACGGTTTCGAGGAGGTGAGTATACGCGACTTGCTCTCAATAACGAGGGTGCACTTCAGCCAATCTGGGTAGATAGCGCTTCGAAACGCTTGGTTTGGTGCGCTAAGGTAGCTCCTCAAACCCACTTACCCAACCTCGCGAGCCTGGCAGCTGGGAAACTAACCAGTTGATGTTTCTGGTTTGGGGAGAATATCTGCGCTTATTGGTTAGAGCAACGGGGCTAATCACCGAACCATATGCCAAACCTAGCTGCAAGTTTTTCTATTGCCCAGCTTCGTAAGTTCGCCTGCCCGCACCTGCCATCACATCCACCACTGCTGGGTGCTGTATCTGCGCCTACTCCTCGGTTTGGGAACACATGCGGTCTGGCCCTGCTCGAACCGCCTTGAAACCAAAGCACGTCCTGCATTGCCCCTCACTTCGCCTATCCATCCCTTCATTTGCTTTGCGCCATAAGAACTCGCGAGCAGTCACATTCTCCTATAATTGAGCCGCGGGTGCTGGATGGTGATACTTGCCATCGAAAGTCGCGTTTGGAATTGGCTCCACTCTCATAATATAGGCATCATCAGTTGTACATACAACGCTAAGGTCATCTTTAACCATGCTAAAAAAAGAGGTGCTTCTCTACATACATTGAACCGATTATGGTGAACGAACAAATATATCTACATAGAAATATACAAATTTTATGGTATAGGAATGCTTGCAGCCAGATTCTTTGATGTAGGGTGGATGTGTGCCAAGTTATCATTTGCAAGCAATATATGGTGGCTAGTTCAATTTATGTATTAGGACGCGTCCCCTCCCTAGATCGATCCTGCGTAGGATCGATCCTGAGCTCGGTTTAAAGAGGTTCAAAAAGTCGAAAACTAGCAAACGCAGGGTTTCAGTGCGGTGGAGGATCGATCTCCCTCAATTTTGCACGATCGATCGAGGGAGGGGACGCGTCCTTATGGCCTGACCTGCCATTATCGTACATCCATCATGAGCAACCAATGTCTCTCTACTGCACAGCACTATTGTAGTGTACCAGTCTGTAAAACACTTTTTTTACCTCAACAAAGTTAACACTCCAATCATCCTTGTACACTCATTATAAGGCCCGGTTTCTCTTCCAGCTCATTCGTGTTGGAGTACAGTGTACAGCGCTTCTCAATCTCAAGAAACTAATTGTTGCCAGCCCATGACAAGAAATTGCTCCATACTGAATAGTTGAATGCGGACCCTGAATTCTTGGTGGAGATGCAAAAGGCTTTGCTACGGTGGATTGCGTTTAACCTAGACAAAGTCCAGAGGTGCAGGTGGAGCTGACTCATGGAAGGGAAGGATATGGAGAATGGAAACGCGAAGAGAGCAATAGAGAATCGGACAGAAGTTCACAGCGGAGGAGTCAGAGAACCCAGAGAGATGTGGGGAACGTAACCGACTAGCACCGAAGAGTGACAAGGTGAAACCAGGTGATACAAGGTTACATGGGTGATACAAGGTTACATGGGTGATACAAGGTTACATGGGTGATACAAGGTTACATGGGTGATACAAGGTTACATGGGTAACACAAGGTTACATGGGTGACACAAAACAAGGGGTCTGGTCCGGACTCCGGAAAGGACGACAACGCATGGTGCAAGGAGGGACGGGACAAGAAGGAAGGACCGGACCGGACGGATGTATGGGCTGAGATGGATGGATGTATGGGAGAGGAGGTTTACACGACAAACTGCGCTGAGACTGAGATTGCAATGCTGCACACAGAATGCACACCTCAAACGCTCACCACACCACCACCACCACCCAACTGGTACAGCAGTGACCAGAACTAAGCAACCCCCCGCCCACTCAAACCCTGCCTGCCTGCAACTGATCAGTCGCTCGATATATCACTCCCCCCACCCGCCCTCACCCCACCCGCCCTCACCCAACCCAAACTCACCCGACCCACACTCACCCCGCCCGCCCTCACCCGCCCGCCCTCACCCCTTCCTCCCCACTCGCGCATTGCCACCAACCTAGCTATTCGCCCCCGCATGGCACCTCATGCAAGCTACCGTTTCAACGCACAAACCACTGTCTCGATTTGTAACCATTCCAAGTTACCAGCGAGCCACAAGCGAGCTCCAGGCGGCTACACCATCGGCAAGCCCCTGCAGGGGCGTGATTTACGGCGTAAGTTACGGCGAGAGTTTCTACGCTAAACGTCAGCACAACCATCCCGAGCACATACTCCGCGCTTCAGCTTAGACGCTACACGCCGTGCTCGTTCCGTTCCTCGCCCGTCCACCTCGTTCCGTTCCTCGCGCGTTCGTCGCCTGCGACGGGCGACGCTACACGTCACTATCGCACACAAAACTCCAGACTCGGTGCTCTGAACCTGACCCTCCCGCATCCCCTACCCCGTTTCTCACCGCTCTGCTCTGCTGTCTCATGCACTACGTCTGACGACGACTCGAGCACTATCGCTGGGACTCGCACCGAGCTGTCGTGACCGTCGCAATCGCCATAGAAATCGCATAGCAATCGCATGATCCCCAAACGCCCCAACGTTCTCCACTAATCCTCATCCCCCTCCCCTTTCTAACCCCCCTCCACCAATCTCCCCAGGCGAAACTCTCCGCCACCCTTCACCCCTCTGCCACCTGCCCTACGCACTCTTCGCCCTCTGCTCCTCCCCTCTTCACCTTCCTCCATTCAACCCCCCTTGGCCCTCTGCTCCTCCCCTTCCCCCTTCCACTTCCCCCTCCCCTTACCCTTTACAACCCCCCCCAAAAACTATGGATGACTCATGCAATATGACAGCGGAAACGGGACAAGCGGGGGAAGACGAGGCACAGAGCGGAGGGGGGAAAAGGATGAGGAAATGCGAGGGGACGGAGTAGGTTGGTGGAGAAGACGGCTAGGAGGAGCGCCGGAACGATAACACGGAGGAACGAGTGGGGAGGAAGGGGAGGGGGTGAGGGAGGTAAAGAAAGACGAGGAAGGGAGGTGTAGGAGGGACACGAGTGCCATGTCCAAGTGCTGATTGGTTGGGTTGTTAAAGGCCATGTAGTAAAGAGGTGAAGGGTGAAATTTCATTGTTTAAATTTCGTTGCGGTTCCACACACACTTGCACCACCACAGACGAACACGCCACACGAGCAAACACACGATGCAAACGAGGGAGGATATGCACGAGGATACGCACACGCACACACACGAGCACACGCATACGCACACGCACAAACAGAGACACACGCACACACACGCGCGCACAGGCGCACCGGAGGGGAAGCAAACGAGCCTGAACGCACACACAAAGAGTGAAGTGTATAGCCAGTAAAGAGAAGCTCATTACCCAATCTGCACATGACACGTGGTGAGCGCTGCACCGCAGCTCAAGCCAGGACAAGTCCCTTTGCGCCTACATCCAACTCCTTCCCAGCACAACTACTGCTGCTACTGCCAGTAAGGCTGCTACTGCAACTACTGCC